AATAATGTACAATGAAAAGTTTGGTTCCTCATAAACCTCATCGTTCTTTTTGTCGTCTTTTCCAGCCGTCCTAGAAAAGAAAAAAAAGAAAACATAAGTGCATGTCGAAATAAACTCGTACGCGCTTTAAGACACAAAAAAGGCGAAAAAAGGTTAATAACGTAAAAGCGAATTTTACAAAATGTTTTTTTTTAATTTTTTTATAATATACATATTGGCCAAATAACAAATATATATAAATATAAGCATATAAAAATTAATTTTTTTTTAATATTATATGTAATGCCATGGAAAATCGAGATGAAACAAAATGTTAACTAGTGTCTTACGTGCGATAGTCGTTTAAATGTTCTGGAAATCTTACTCTTTTTCCAGAACGCGTTGTTTTATGTTTCTTTTCAGATACCGTTGAAGTAACATCGTGCGTGTTGGTTGTCGGATGAAGTATTATAAGTGTTGGAGTCGTGTCGTTCGATTGTACCGAAAGAAAATCGACGTAGATAGGATTTCCTTCTAAATACGCTGCTTTGAGGCGATCGATGCTGATGCTATCGTTGGTTCCGTTCTTATCGATTATGTAGTACTTCGGTTCGCGTTGAAGAACTTTGAAAGGTCCTTCGTATGCTGATTCGAAAGGTCGTCGATGCGAGTCTCGACGAACGAAAACGTGTGTACTATATCGTAAGTCAGTTGATTGAGGTCGAGTGGAAGCAGGTTTAACTGAACGCATTGCGTTTGTAAGCCTGTTCGTGTAGGAGGATCCACGAATTCTCCTGGAAGTCGAAGTGTCGTTCCATAAACGAGTTGAGCCGTAGCGTATCCAATGTCAGCTTTGACTGCATTGCGAATACCTTGCAAGACGTGTGGAAGCGCGTCGGTCCACTGTGAAACATTTGCAGCTGATAGTGAAGCTTTTAGTTGTCGGTGAAAACGTTCTACCAACCCGTTTGCTTATGGATGGTAGGCCGTCGTTCGGAAGCGAGTGATTCCTAAAAGTGTGGTCAGACGACGGAAAAGTTCAGATTCAAACTGACGTCCGCGGTCTGTAGTGATGGTTGAAGGGCAGCCGAAGTTTGCTACCCATCGTTCGACGAAGGCGCGGGCCACTGTTTCAGCAGTGATGTCCTTGATAGGTACTGCTTCTGGCCATCGAGTGAAACGGTCTACGCAGGTTAAGAGATAAGAGTATCCATTTGAATCTGGTAAAGGTCCTACCAAATCCAGATGAACATGGTCGAAACGAGCATCGGGAGTTTTAAACGAGCCTAAGGGACATTTATTGTGTCTGATAACCTTAGATTTTTGGCAGCTTACACAGGAGCGTGCCCACTCCCTCACGTCTTTATTCATGCCAGGCCAGCAAAATCGTTCTGCTATAAGCTTGATGGTTGCACGAACACCTGGATGAGAAAGTTTGTGCAATGTATTGAAGACATTGCGTCGATAATGTTTCGGCACGATTGGGCGATCCCTACCTGTAGATGTGTCACAAAGTAAGGTTTCCTTACCTGTTCCCATCTGTTTGATGCGTAGTTTAAGTGTTGTGGACGATAACTCGTGCTGAAGATCAGTGTCTTCTTTTTGAAGCTCGGCGAGTTTAAGAAGGTCGATTCCTTGGAAACTGTTCAAGGAAGTTATGCGAGATAAGGCGTCTGCAACTACATTGTTTGCTCCAGAAATATGTTGAATATCTGAAGTAAACTGCGAAATGTAGTCCAGTTGTCGAGACTCACGGGGAGAGTACTTGTCAGAAGGAGAGCTTAACGAGAAAGTGAGCGGTTTATGGTCCGTGAAAAGAGTGAATTCACGGCCTTCGATATAGTGTTGGAAATGCCGTACAGCACAATACATAGCTAGGAGTTCCCTACCGAATGTGCTGTACCTCGATTCGGTGTCTAGCAACCTTCTAGAGAAAAATGCCAAGGGTTGCCAGGAGTTGTTAACCCATTGTTGTAAGACTCCTCCGATTGCCGAGTCGGATGCGTCTACTGCGATGCTAATGGGTGCTCGGTGTCCTGATGTGCGAGCATTGTTGCTTTAGCGATCAGTTCCTTAACTGTGGAGAATGCTTTTCGTGCGGTGTCGTCCAAATTAATGGATTTCGCATTTCCACGAAGTTGGTCGGTCAGAGGTTTCATAAGTAATGCGCATTTCGGTATGAAACGTCTATAGAAACTTACGAGGCCGTTAAACGTGCGTAATTGCTTGACGGTGGTCGGTTCTGGGTAATCCAGAATGGCCGCCACTTTGGTTCTAAGGGGTCGAATACCTTGAGCATCGATAGTGTGTCCTAGAAAGTCTAATGAGTCGGTTCCGATTTGGCATTTCTGAACGTTTACAGTAATGCCATGTTTTTGTAGTCGTTCGAAAACGAAATCCAGATGCTTGAGATGTGTTTCTCTGTCCGGACTTGCGATTAGACAGTCGTCAACATACGCGTGTACGAAGTTGAGACCTCGAAAAACGTCGTCTATGAATCTTTGGAATGTTTGAGCAGCATTCCTTAGACCGAAAGGCATTCGCAAAAATTCATAGAGTCCGAAGGGAGTTATGATAGCTGTTTTCGGTATGTCGTCAGTAGCCATAGGGATTTGGTTATACGCTTTAACCAAGTCGATTTTCGAAAAGACAGTTGTACCTTTCAAGGTAGCTGTCAAATCGTGAATGTGAGGCAACGGGTAACGATCGGGAATGGTTTTCGCGTTCAATCGCCGATAGTCACCAGTTGGACGCCAATCGTTGCTGTCCTTTTTAGGGACCATGTGCAACGGAGATGCATATGGGCTACTTGACGGTCGTATGATTCCTAAGTCTATCATGTGGTCGAATTCGTTTTTCGCTAACCTTAGCTTTTCGGGAGCTAGTCGTCGTGCTTTAGAGAATACAGGTGGTCCTGTAGTCGTGATGTGATGTGTAACGTTGCTGGTTACACACGGTAGTTTCGGTTGAGTTTGTTGTATCCCAGGGTACTTATCGAGTAGTGGTTGATAAAGTGGGTCTATCGTACGCTTAATTGTGACTGGGGATAATCTGCCTTCGGTAAAAGAAGTTACGCAAACAGATTAATTAAAGTTTCCGTCTACTAGCCTCTGTTTGCGCGTATCGATGAGTAGATTATGGTGTTGTAGAAAGTCCCTAACCAGTGACTGGCATAGAAACATTTGCAAAAACGAAGATCCAGTGTATGGGTTTGCGTAAACTCACGTTAAGGTAAACGTACCTTTTGCAATATGTAGCGATAGGCTTTCCGTTAGCCGCCTATAGATTTAAAACCGATTCATGAGGCCGGTCGATAAAATTTGCAGGAAGAACGCATACTTCTGCGCCAGTATCGACGAGGTAGCGAACTCTCGTTGTCGTATCTGTGACGTGTAACAGACGGCTATGTTCGCCGGCTGCGGTTGCCGTTAACGCGTGCCGGCTTGGGAGTTTTCCGAGTTGTTCTTCGTGTCGGTCGGTTTTGAGTTGGGAAAATTGCAGGGTTTCCTGCAATTCCTGGAGAACTTTCCATAATGGTTATGATACTAGCACCAGTCTGGGTTATCCGTCTCTCGTGGTCTGGAGACAGATCGCTTACGTGAAGTGCTTCTACGTGGGGTGTGTGATCGCATACGGTCGTTACGAAATTTAAGATAACGCGTAAGTGTATGACATAACTCGTAATGTCATTCTGGGTCGTTTGAGGCTTTTCTTTGACTGACAAAACTTCAGTATTAGAAGATTTGGTAATTTCTAAGATGCAGTTGGCAGATGCAGCCAGCTTGTCTAAGGTGTTGTTTTGCAACGAGCCCAGCACAGTTTGCACCTGTTGAGGAAGTTTGGATAAGAAAAGTTGTTTAAATAGGCCATCATCGTAGGTTCTTTGGCCGATAACCTCTCTCATTTGTTGCAACACGTCTGTCGCAGAACCGTGTTGCAGGTCGATATTATTAAGGAGTTGGTGTAAACTTTGTCTATTGGTTAGGTCTCCGCGTTTAAGGATAGATCGTTCCAGTGTTTCGTAGGGTTCAGAAACATCACTAGTAAACATACTAGGTGTTATGTACCTGTTGAGTTCGCGTGGTGGTGCCTTGACTACTGCGAGGAATTACGCACGTGTGTTGTTCACGCCGTGCTCGTAGAAGTTGGCTACTGAGTAGCAGAACAAGGCTTCGATGTTGTCTGGCCAGAAGGGCATTAATTGGAACGAAGATGGGGACTTAGTCCTTAGCTTAAGTACTTTGGGTGTCTGTTCAGTCATAGTGAAATATCAAGTACGAGAATGAACGAGTGAAAAAATATATGTATCCAAAAACACGAAACAAATATCACAATGTATAAAAAATTAGAGTAAGGCAATGATATATAAAATCCCAAAAAGGAACAGACTCACAGTTTGCAATTTGGCGTACCAGACCACGTCGGGCTCACCAATGAAGATGCCACAGGTATTCGGAGTTTGACAACGCTTTAACCAGTAACACCTTCTAACACGAATCGTACCCACCAAGTGAAATCAAAAGACAGAAGCGAGGAGTTTCTAAGGTATATTTGATGGGCCATCAATATATCGAGGATCGTCTGATCTGATCTGGCTAGCGATTGCAGTAGATGTTGAGCACGGTGTTCCCACTCGTGATCTGGTGCGGATGCATGACCAAGCGCCTTCAGCTAGGTGAGTCCATTGAAACTAATGTGATCAGCATCCAATGTGGTAAACTTACAGAGCTATTTATTTTGGGGACTTATTTACCGCTACAGTGTGAAGCACAGAGTATCATTGGAGATTCGTCCTACATCATGCATCATCACGATGGCATCACTTTCATTGCTTGAAGTATCGACGTTATCAGACAGTATGGTCGAATTCAAATCAAATTTAAATTGTCTGGATTTGACCGCTTCTGCAAAACTTTACGAATTGTCGAGGTGACGCCCCAATCGTATTACGGCGGTTTGACCTTGAAGTGCTCAGTAACCTCAGTCACTGGAAGATACCACTGAACCGTTGCTGTGGTCACATGGTTAGTCTTAATGAGTTTTCTTGCCACACCATGATTGTCTATCTATCAGTCTATAAAATTTCTAAAAATGAGTAACAACATATATATTTATGTCCTTCCGACAAATTTTCATATCACATTATTCGGAAAAAACCACATGTCAGTGTTAGACCAATGTATCCTTGCTTTGTAAATTGTATATTTTAGTAAAGTAGATATAGGAAAACTTAATCTATAGTTGATATCAACAAAAGTGATTGATTTTGAGTAAATATTGCGATATTTACTCAAAGTCAATGTTCGTTAAGGCGGTGTCAATCATTTGTCAAAAAGTTAGTTATCTTTATTGAAGTTCGTGATTAACTGTGTGAACAGTTATGAAAAATAGTATTCTTTTTTTTAGGTCACTAGATGTCTACTAAACGCACACAATTTGTAATAAGAGTAGGAGAGCCTTGTTATTCCACTATTTCAGTAGTCAGCTGGGGAGATAAGACTAAAATTACTTTTTAACATTGGTTGAGTTCAAAGTGGTAGCACTTCTGATTGTACTAGAGTGTAGTGACAACAGTCGGTCCCTATCAGGAGTATGAAATTTAGACTAGGGATAAGAATTGACTGGAATTTTACCCAATCCGCATTCTTGGTTGAGGAAAGTGAGCAACCTTAAGAATATTCATCTTCTATGAGTCCACAAATCTTCGTAGACCGAATCTCTCTCAATGAAGAAAGAAGCTCCAAGTATCACTACCAATCATTAAATCTAGATTATTACATTTGCTTTACATACATGTGCTAAATTAGCTTATTTGAATGTCACATACATATATCCTTCATGTTAGTCGCTTCTTACTCATTTGCTCCCCCCATCCGCTTTCTGTTCCCTTCCTACTTGTTCTAATAGTTGTCCGATTCTGGTTGATTTTGTTATAACTGTGTTCTGATGTGTGATGTCTTGGATCGATTCCAGGTTCCATTTTAAACTTTAACTGGGTATGTCATCAGTATTTTAACAAGACTCGGTGCTTTATATATTGCTGAAACTGAAAAATAGTGAAGGTCGTCTAACCAACTATTATGAGTCAGTGTCTTCAAATTGCTTTCATGGAGTCATTTTACAGAACATTAGTTTATTTGAGGGTATTTTGTTACATAACAGGAAACTTGTTTTCATCCCACTCTTATTTTTTGCAGAATCACTCAGCCATAGTTAATGGTGAAAGGAGGACCCCTTCGGTCATTTTAATGGACTTCTTTAATATGATTCCGTTCACAGATCGGACCAGCGTTTCTTCAACTTTGACCGAAATCCGCAACAGCCTGGATGATGTAATTCCAAATACTAATCCTATAGCACCATTTATTAGCAAAATCAGGCAGTTACAGTTAGTTTTCATGAGAATTCCCATGGTATTAAGAAAACAAATCAAATCCCTATTACTGGAAGGTTTAGAAGCGTCGTCAGAAATCTCCAACCTACTTCTGTGTATTTTCACACTGTGTCTATGTTTATTGGAATTAAGCGTTCTGAGAAACTGTGATCGGTCAGACTTAGAAAGCGAAGATATTTGGACAACTATCAAAGAATTAAATCAGTCTATATTCCCAAGATTATGTGAAAAAATAAAGCAGCAAAAACGAATCTGCCTTCACTTTTATCATGGTCATATTGTATGTTAGCGTTCACCTTCCATGCTTGTGCAGAGTGGGTACATAATCAAGGTTGTAAACCCTCACCTTCGTTCTGTGTCAAGAATTCTGTGGTCTTAGATGAAACTATTTTGGATCATCCAACTGTGCCAGATATATTGCGCCATATTCTCTATAATCAGGTAAAGAATAGACCTTATTTTACACCACCTACTTCACGAACGCTAATAGATCTTATATTCTCAAGTGCAATATCTAGCAATGCAGGAATTTTAATGTCTTGCAAGTATAAAAAAACATATGACCTATCTGACTGCTGTATTGAATTTGATGAACCTCCGGTGCAACCTGTCAAAGTTGATGAAATCAAAGTTAATCCTAAAGACAAACCACGTCAATTGCTTTCATGTTTTCAAGATAATTTGCAAACAGGTTCCTTCAAAAAATTTTCTCTAACCTAAGTTTGTTGAAACAACTACTTGGAAATCCTGACTGCCAGAATTCTTTACTGGAACCATTAATTTTTAGCTTACGACAGTCACCTTTCATATTGAAACGCTTGAGAAGTTGCTTGGCAAGTGGTCTAAAACCAAATGACACTGATGTCTGCTTATATGAGAAAATTTATACCTTACTACTGCAACTGTGGTTTCAAGCTGCTATGGATCGTACGTTACTTAAGAATTTTCCACAATCATACATATGGTTGTGTGGTTTCACTTGCCCGATGTATGAGGTATGTTTTCGTATTATGAATTATTTGATTACATGAAATTTCTGATGATTTTCTTCATTAGTATGAAACTTATGTATCGACGTCTAGAGCCACAAGTTGCTTTTTCGTGATGTAAATTGGCAATCAGGTTAAAAATAGCTTATTAATGTAAATTTGATAAGTCAAATTCGTGTTGTCACAACCTATATATTCTATAGTAAAGGTTTAATTCATTCACGTTACTAGGTGCTGATGTGGATTTTCCAGTCTGCTTTTGTTGCTCGTTTCAATGCAGCGATAAGTACAGATTTACAGAAAAGAACGTCGTATAACCTAACATACTAGTTCATCGTTTAAAGTTATCTTACTTCAGAACACCATAATGAAGTGGCATTCAGGCAAAAACTCAATTATAATGGTCATCTTCCATAATAGGACCATAGCGAACAAGATTAGGTGAAAATCGGATTGTACGCGCGTCTAAATGACTAGCACAAATTTTAAGGTTTCTTGTCGGTTATTCAAGCATGTATTTTCACCATTAGGGTTATGGAACATCAGCAGTACATATCTCGGTCGTCTCTGTTAGTGTAACTCGTTGTCATAAGTTTATTTGCTTATCACACCCAAGACATTCAGAAGGCATTATTTGCCGAATACCGTCAGAACCTCTCATATTTTACTTTCAGTAATCTTGTTTTGTAGTCTTGAAATAAGACACCATTTGTGAATTCTCTTTACCTAGTTCCGTCAAATTAGTTTCTTGTCCCGTCTATAATTAAATCTTGTATCTTGAAGTTACTATCAAGAAAAGACGATAAATTTGTGGATGCTCAGTTCATTGCTAAATGAAAAAAATTCATACTACCCAATAATACATTGGTCTTAAACCAGTCACTCAATATTTATCTAGTCTTAGTTTTATACTAAATTTGCCAATATTAATTACCATACATAAAAATTAGAATGGCTTCCCAACTAGTATTGTTAACTATAGTCTGTAAGAATTAACGGATTCTCGTTATATGTTCACAAAAAAGCAAGGCGGATACAGTAGTTAAAAGCCTGTATAATAGTGTCGCTATTCTGATGGAGTTTTGTTCTCTGAGGTGGATGGTTCGGTCATGGAGCTTTCATCGTTCTTCTGAACGACATCATCAGCACCGAGAATGTATCCTTTGTCAGGTTTGTGCATGCGATGTTTTATGACATTCTTAAAATAAAGCACTCATTTATTATTTATTGAAGTTAATGATAATCCTTTTAATTCTATAGGTAATGAGTATGACTGGATTCTATGATGCTGTTATATGGACTGGGCGTTTTCTGACTGCTTATGAGAATATGTTTAGGTCATCAATTTTTAACTCACCGCACTGGTACCTACAAATGATTACGGATGCAGTGATTGCTATAATAGACCGATCAGGAAAAGGTTAGTTTACTTTCTGCATGATAATCATGAGTACGTTAATATGTTGTTATATCTTTTAGGTGGTCTACTTCTAAATAGAAAAATGTGTCCATCTTCTTGTGTTATGTTAGATGCAGTTAGCTAGAGTCTCTGGATCTATTTTAATGCTAGTTAGCACTCGTTGATAAGGCATATATGTCGCTATTGTTTTGAGACACCAATCGACATCACGTGCGAAATCCATCAATCAGAATTTCAGTTATAATTTCTTCACCCGGCGTCCGCTATTTTGTCTGTAGTCCAACATTCCTAGTCTTGAGCAATCATGCGTTCTGACTGACACAATCAACCTCAAGCTGACGTAGGCTTGACTTCTATTAACCCGTCTATCCACATACCTTTCTCTATCCTCAGTCGTGAATCTAAAGAAAAGTCTACACCTATTTATTTGAACACATAAATATTGGTACAAGAGCGCACCAAATATATATGCGCCACACAAACAATGAGAATGGGAAGAGAAAAAAAGGTAAGGAGCGCAGAAAAAAAGAACAACAACGACCAGATTAGTGTAAGGCAGTGTAATAATAATGGGGGGGGGAACAGTCTACACCTAAGCTTCTATACATAAATTGCGAGAACACAATGCACCCCGAATGTAAAATCATACTTCCCATTTAATCGTATCATAAGTCATGGAGAACAGTACATAATTCACTAACAATAATTAAGAAACAGTAAAACACATGATAATCCGTAGGCCCATTATTGGCTTACAATAAAGGGATATATAGAAATAGGATTGTTATACAATAGAAGTATAGGTAATGATAGTCCGTGAATTAGTCCCAAGAGTCAAACTTTTTTCGATACCCACTCTATCACAATAGTAATCTTGAAGGGACTATCACCTTGCTCAGTGATTAGAATTCCTCACCCGGTGCTAATATCAATGAAGTTAGTATGTAGTTGTTTGAGCTGTAGTTAATTATATTTGGTAATGATCAATATCGTATAATCTAGTCCATAGTGCTGATCAAATCCTTTTGATTTGAATAAAGCAATGACAACAAGCACAGTAGAATAATACACATTCATTTATTTTACGGATTCTCTTAAACTGCTTATAATTTAGAAACAATAGTATGAATTAAGTAACAAACGGATCTACATATCTTACATCAAATCGACAGGAAGGTCTTCATCAGTGAACATCGGTAAAAAAAGTGAATAAAACTAAAAATGTTCGTACAGTTTATTAACCCGACCGTTGTTACTACCTTGACGTGGTGGTCGGGCTTGCCTATCGTGATGAAGCAACCGAGCTATACTGACTGGAACAACTGTTCCTCAAGGTCCTACCACTTCAGAAAGGTCGGTTGAAGAGCGGTAAGACTAAAAGCAACAAACCCAAGGTCCGAAGGCGAAGTCGTACTGCTGACTGTACAGAGGTGTGACAGCAGTAAGGTGTTTCCTTCAGACAACCAGCATGACAGCGATGCTGCCTTCCCACAAGGAGGGGTGGGTTAGAAAAGGTCGACCCTAAAAATGCACACCTCGCCTTATCCCACGGATATCCGTCTCCGGCGGTAAGGTCTCAACAAGTACGGAGCTAACACAAAAATTACCCATAAAAAGGTCGTGTGTGACCGACCTCAAGCAGTTGTCCCTTGGGCACTGCGGTCACGCTCTCAGGTCACTAAGACCACCTCTAATCCAATTTCCTTTTCAGGTACCTCCAGAATAACCCTTCCATGGTGTGGGCAACCGGGAAGTGATAACCGCCCTCATACCTGTAACAGCACTCAAGACCACTGTATTCATAATCAACCTCCCTCTTCCATTCCTATTATTCCTCCTACATCGACTTTCAACTCTAAACTTCTTTTTCGGCTTCCCCCTCAAGTGTCACCATAGCCAACGATTCTAGTGCTCAAAACACTGTCCCAGGTCTACTGAAACCTCGCTCCAAACTACACATTGGAGCCTTCAACGTACGCACCCTATGTCAAATCGGTCAGCAGGCTTCCTTGGCTAAAACCCTAGAGTCTCTTTCCATTGATGTATGCTGTGTCTCCGAAACACGCATACAGGATCCCGGTGTGGTCATTCACTTGACCTCACCTCGGCAAAACGGAGAGCCAACGAGATACACCCTTCGTGTATCTGGTGACCCGATGGCCAGTTCTCGTGGACTGGCAGGTGTAGGCATAGCACTAAGCATGAGGGCGGAACAAGCACTGCTAGAGTGGATCCCCGTCAACAGTCGTCTATGTGCTGTTCGGCTGAACGGCTACGTAAGAACTCGGAAGGATAGGGACACACGTCGTTGCCTTTTTGTCGTTTCTGCCTACGCTCCCACTGACTGCAGCTCAGATGAAGTGAAAGATGAATTTTACAGAAAGCTATCCGAACTTCTTCAGAAAGCTAAACGCTCAGACATAGTACTCGTAGCAGGTGATTTTAATGCTCAGATAGGTAGTTTAAACCAAACAGAAAGGCATTTAGGTGGATATTTTAGTATTCCGACACAGCGAACAGATAATGGTGATCGTCTGCTGCAGCTATGCTCAGACAATCGTTTATTTTTAGCAAACACAAATTTTAAGCATAAGGAGAGACATCGTCTAACATGGCGACCCCCTACACCAAACCAACGATGGACTCAAATAGACCATATTGCCATCAGTCATCGTTGGAGAGGGTCGGTAGAAGATTGTCGCTCATTCTGGAGTACCTGCTTGGACTCCGACCATGCCCTAATACGGGCACGCATCTGCTTGCGCCTCACTGGACGCAAAAAAGCCACATTAAAAAGACCCATTAGAACTGAGTTGAGTAACGAGAAAACCAAAAGTAGGTTCCAGGAACAACTGAGGTCACACTTAGGTAGTTGTGAAGACGAGGCTGACCCAGATGTTGCTTGGAAGGATATACAAGCAGCTGTGGAAACAGCAGTGACATCTATTAGTGACTTAAACCACAGAGTTACAAGGAACCAGTGGATTTCTTCAAGGTCTGTCACACTGATGGATTCTCGCAAACTCGTCCCATCAGGTTCCGAACATGATGAAGAGCGACAACAAATCAGATCTAGGTTAAGAAAAAGTCTAAGGAACGACCGTGAGCAGTGGTGGGTAACGAAAGCAAAAGAGATGGAAAAGGCGGCGACTATAGGGAACACAAGACAGCTTTACAGACTAATAAAAGAAACTGGAATTAATAAGTCAAGTGTAAGTGAGATTATTTCGGAAAAAGACGATACTCTCATCTCCCAGTCCAGACGTTTAGAACGATGGGCGGAACATTTTAGAGAACAGTTCAGCTGGCCTTCAGCTACTCTACAACTACCCTCCATTCCCAGACAGTGTGAATGGAACATTGAAGTAGGTCCCCCAACTCTTGCTGAAGTTCAAAAGGCTATAGTTAATCTGAAACGAGGAAGGGCAGCTGGTCCAGATGGATTGGCTCCAGAGGTCTTTAAGGATGGTGGTCCAATTTTAGCGATTAGGTTGACTAATATTTTAGCTAAGATCTGGGAGTTAGACGTTATCCCATCTGACTGGTCGCAATCACTTATCGTCCCAATATATAAGAAAGGGTCAAAATCATCCTGTGACAACCACAGAGGGATTAGTTTAACAAATATAATATCTAAAATACTGGCCTCGATAATTATCAGACGCCTAACTAAGACTCGTGAACTGCAAACACGAGAGAACCAAGCTGGCTTTAGACCTGGTCGTGGCTGCATCGACCACATATTCACCATTCGTCAGGTTCTAGAACACAGGCATACTTATCGGCGTCCGACGATGGTGGTCTTTCTTGACTTAAAAGCAGCATTTGACTCTGTAGACCGCGAGATTCTGTGGCAGTGTCTGTCATTGAAAGGCGTACCTCAGAAGTACATAAACCTTGTGAAGGCTCTTTACTCGAACACTACTAGTCGAGTCAGGGCTTATGGCGAACTGTCATCTACTTTTGCAACCTCAAGTGGTGTCCGTCAAGGCTGTCCACTTTCTCCATTTTTGTTTAACTTCATCATAGACCTATTGATGGAAATAACACTCTCGTCGACTGAATTCTCGGGTATTGATCTCCTTCCAGGAGGTCCACTTATCGACTTAGAATATGCAGATGACATAGTCCTGTTTGGTGAAGACGCTGACAAAATGCAGAGTCTTCTGGTAGCACTAAGCAACAATGCCAGAATGTTTGGAATGCGCTTCTCTCCCTCTAAATGCAAGTTGTTGCTTCAGGACTGGTCTGCGTCAACACCTGAACTAAGGATAGGGAGTGAAGTAGTCGAACCCGTTGACAACTTATCTTGGAAGTCTGATCAGCCCTAATGGGTTGGTGTCTGACGAAATCTCAGCACGGATTCGAAAAGCTCGTTTGGCTTTTGCCAACTTACGTCACCTTTGGCGAAGGCGAGATATCCGTCTATCAATAAAAGGACGAGTATACTGCGCGGCAGTCCGTTCTGTTTTACTTTACGGCAGCGAAACATGGCCTTTAAGAGTAGAAGACACTCGTAAGCTACTAGTATTTGACCACAGATGCCTTAGAAATATTGCTGGCATCTGCTGGGATCACCGGGTAAGTAATAGTGAGGTTAGACGCAGGGTATTAGGGAATGATGGTAAATCAGTTGATGAGGTTATGAATCTTCATCGACTGAGATGGTTGGGCCACGTATTACGTATGCCTGAACACCGATTACCACGACGTGCAATGCTAACCGGTGTTGAAGATGGTTGGAAGAAAGTTAGGGGCGGCCAAACCAAAACGTGGCATCAGTGCTTGAAGTCACTAACTTCTAGTCTGAGCCATGTTGGTAGATGCAGACTACTTGGTTGGGGTCCGCGTGACTTTCGTAACCAATGGTTGGAGACTCTTGGTGACATGGCTCAGAATCGATCACAATGGCGTAGGTGTATACACTCCCTGTCTTCCTTTAAACTAAGAGATGAAAATTGCTTCATGTCTTTCTTTCTACGAACTAATTCTTTCTTCCTATACTATATCCTTATATGCAATCTTTCTCCTATATATTACCACCTTTGACCTAACCACTCCTATGAATCCAGTGTCCATCTTGTTGTGCTAATAAGGTATGGCAACCTGGACCGATGCATATATGTGCCTGGTCCTACGTTGTAGCTAACTGACAGTTTATTATTTATGCTAACTAATATGAATATTTTATTGGGGAATTTTCGAGAATATACTTTTAGAGACGTAAAACTAGCGCGAAAATTTAGGTGTTATAAACAATGGATTGGTTAGAAGGAATGTAACTGGTAGCATGAAATATGTTATCTAACAAAGTATTAAGAATTGTGATCACTAGGGCAGTGCAAGACTGGAAATGGCACTTTTTGAATAGACATATCTGGTTTGTCCTGCAATAAGGATGGATTTAACGAAACAATTAATACAAAGTTATTTCAAAATGTTGACGCCGTGTCCACCACCAAGTAAACAATAGGCAATCGCAGCACTAAAAATATGTTGACCTTTTAGCCTCAACTGTCAGTCTTTGATAAACTAATGCCGAAAGGGACGATCTGTCTACATTGTATTTATTGCATACAATTGGTTGTTGTGGTAGACAAACTGCTAAGTTAGCAATTCACCTTCTGAAGAAATTACGTGCTATGGTCAACAGTTAGGACAATTTCAATAAGTAGGATAATAGTTAAAACTTTTTTTAATTCAGGCGCGGTGACAATTTTTGAAGACAGTAACACTACGAGTCAAGGGATAATTATTAACATAAACTAAAATGTCAGCTCAACGTGTTAAAGATGTTGACCTATAATTTAGATACAATAGGTCCAGGTTGATCACATATGTGCTGCGTACAATAACACTTCGATTCGTTTTCTAAGACTCTGGTCTATGTAACGTTTCAATTCAGTAGCCTTCAAACATGAGTCAGAAGCACTTGCCAACGCTTTTGATACGATTTGGTGAAAAATCGGTAAACAACACGGGCTTAACTATGAATATCGAGTATAAACCAAATAAATGTTTTTCTCATTTGTCATGTTATAGGTAGTCAACAGGATATATCATCTGATCAACTAGATGAATTGCTTTGTAGTTGTATGGCTGCAATTGTCAGACCATTTCATGCTCTCAGAATTGAAGATCACGAAGTTTATGCTGAAATGTCTCGAGCGATTAAAGTCCCTTTAGAATCAATTGTATCACATCTTTCAAGTTGTTTAGTTATAAAAGATAGTTCAAGTACAAATATCAAAGAAAAGAAAAGAAAAACGACAGAACCAACAAGTACAACAACTATAAATTTTAGACTAAAGGATTTTATAGTTCATCATCTTATATTTCCAATGATCAGAGCATGTGACAAATGGGCAATGGGACAAGCAAAGTTGGGAATAAAACCACATTGTGCAAAAACTCTTCTTAATCAACTTATTATTGACGCCAAAATTCAAAATGAAAAGTTTGAAGGCCCTCCTCAAATGGCACAAAAGTTGGATATCGTTAGACCACCTGCTGTAGGTGGCTTGCATGTAGCGGAAAAACTTTCGTTAAAACGAAAACGATAAGATTTTTCATGTACAGCTGTAAAAAATGTGCTGATTAGTAAATTTCTAACTCTTATAAGAATAAAAATGTATATACGAATAGCTGATTTTTCGAACATTCACGTGTACAACAAACAAATCCAAGGAATCTTAGATAGAAGACTCTATCCTTTAATCTTGTAAATGTGACTAGAAGAAAAGGTCCTTTTTTCTCATTAGCTGAATTTTCATATTTAAGAAGTACATAGAATAATGAAAAAGTACGTAATTGAGAGATAATAAATATTTGCATTTTATTCAGAGTCCGAAGATAATATTTGCACTCTACGAAATACACACCCAACAGGTTCATCATTCTCAGGATGTCGTATTTCCATTGGTCTATATTTCCAAAACAAGAAAAGAAAACTTTTTTGAAAAAACACAATGAAGATGTAAAAAGTAACACAAATTCAACAGCACATATATAGTTAGCAGTTCAAAAACAAATCCTAATGAACTTGTTACATTAAGGATTGTGATTTTACACACAGAGTCAAGATATCAAGTGAAAAAAAGTCACGTTACTGTGATCATAATAACAGAGAGGCAAAATAAACAAAAGCATGAAAGAATCTTATTTTATTAAGAAACTCCAAGTGTAGTTGTTAAGAATTTGAATATTCATAAAGATTAAAATTGTGCGAAAGAGTTGCGTAAAATGTGGAAATGTAATCAGAAGGAAATAATGGAAACAGAATTAAGTTTGAGAGTTAGGATCAATGGAGATAAAGCACAGGGTAAACGCTTTGGAATATTGGAAGTTAAGACCATGGTAGAGGAAATCACATAAGTTCATTTTGTATACACAATTCTAGCTTGTCTAGATTTATAATGAAATCCCAGCAACACTGACAACAGCTCATTGTTCTGGGCTAGTGAAGAACAGGCAAAGTTATCCGCTTAAGTGTTCCAGAATATAACAGGAAAGTTTCATGTGTTATATGATCTCTCATCGAGCGAAACAATTAAGCAACTTTCACTTGTAGAGTGTATCAGTTAAGCCAGGGGACAAAAAATATAAATATTAAGGTTTAGTTCTAATGAGTCAATGAGATAATCATCAGGATGATTTAATATCTTTTTAAGTGTACAATAATTTTTACTGGTAAAAAGGCGTACGAATTTAAATTAATTATATCCGAAACGCGAAATAAAGCCAATTAATTTCAAAAATACGTAGTAGATTCACTATTATCCAGTCTCCGGTTTTTCACTAGAAAGCTGTCACCAATCACTGGTTTAAATATGTACAGTCTGTTTAGAGTAATACACTGAAGGATAAATGATGCGGACACAAAACCATATAATTGGAATACTTACGACTCTGAATGATAAGTATCATGACCATCTTCATTCTCATCATCTGAGGATAATAGACGCCTTCTCTTTTGAACTGGCATTTTCGGAGACCTTTGTGAAATATAGAGTAAATATAATAGAAAAATGTTGTATATGAATACTAGCATAAACATATCCGAGAATAGAGTCCTAACATGTAGCAGAATAAGGGTTAGAATCAAACTCTGGCAGTCAGTGCTTATTTTAAACATGAAACCAATATTCGGTAATTGACGCTATATCTGGTTAACGTTTCGTTCCATAAGTAGATACTAATGAATACCAACTTGCGATGCGACTTCAAATAAGCGATTACCATTATCACACTCAAATGTAGAGAAATTATTACTAGATTTAATATCAGCAATTGAATCAGGAAGAAGTCGTGCACCATAGGACTGTCAGGACCATAGGTGTAGAAACCATATATAATAGCTGAGTTCGGTATTAACCAAGCGATGTTTACTCTTGTTCATGTACTAGAGAAGCACTTTCTTGTTTTTATCTGTTTAGAATTACGATGGTCAATCAGCTACAACGTAAAACCAGGCACATATATGCATCGGTCCAGGTTGCCATACTTTATTAGCACAACAAGATGGACACTGGATTCATAGGAGTGGTTAGGTCAAAGGTGGTAATATATAGGAGAAAGATTGCATATAAGGATATAGTATAGGAAGAAAGAATTAGTTAGTAGAAAGAAAGACATGAAGCAATTTTCATCTCTTAGTTTAAAGGAAGACAGGGAGTGTATACACCTACGCCATTGTGATCGATTCTGAGCCATGCCACCAAGAGTCTTCAACCATCGGTTACGAAAGTCACGCGGACCCCAACCAAGTAGTCTGCATCTACCAACATGGCTCAGACTAGAAGCTAGTGACTTCAAGCACTGATGCCATGTTTTGGTTTGGCCGCCCCTAACTTTCTTCCAACCATCTTCAACACCGGTTAGCATTGAACGTCGTGGTAATCGGTGTCCGGGCATACGTAACACGTGGCCCAACCATCTCAGTCGATGAAGATTCATAACCTCATCAACTGATTTACCATAATTCCCTAATACCCTGCGTCCAACCTCACTATTACTTACCCGGTGATCCCAGCAGATGCGAGCAATATTTCTAAGACATCTGTGGTCAAATATTAGTAGCTTACGAGTGTCTTCTACTCTTAAGGCCATGTTTCGCAGCCGTAAAGTAAAACACAACGAACGAGCTTTCGAATTCGTGCTGAGATTTCGTCAGGCACCAACGCATTAGGGCTGATCAAACTTTCACGATAAGTGAAGTTGTCAACGGGTTCGACTGTTTCACTCCCTATCGTTAGTTCAGGTGTTTGACGCAGGCCATCCTGAAGCAACAACTTGCATTTAGAGGGGGAGAAGCGCATCCCACGATGGTCATTGAACAGATACTTAGAAAGCTTAAATGTAAGTACAGGGAAACTCCTGTGTATAACAGTGAAATTTTGGAAGAAAAACTAAAATAACTATCAAGGGATGCCTTTTCAACGTTTTCCTTACTTACATGAAAAACAATCAGTATTGTTAATTATTCCAGCAACTGATTTTTTTTCAAGCGTCACGTTTATACCAGCTTCGGAGTGGGATAATGAATTAGAGATAAAAGAAACTCAACTGAATACCTAAGGAAGTTCTACGCAGTCTACTACTTATGAGTAAACGTCTACGCAAATTTATGGACATCATATCCCAGTTTACACACTGCCTAATTTTTAATAATTTTTTCATAATGGAATTTTATATACATAAAAAGAAATAGCCACTATGATACTTTTGAACACCATATAACTATATGTACATAATATAGTGTTATTAGACCTATTTTTACCCTGATTCTGAGTTTGGAGAAACTGCTCCACAGGTATAATCATCTTGAGTATGATTTACATAGGTAATGTGATCCACTTGATCAGATGGTCTATCTGATTCAACTAACTGATTAATATATTCAGGACTGGCATTTTCATCTGTGTTATGTTTTGAATCTGAGTTGTGTGAAGTATTTGCTTCTTTTTCTTCTTCTTCTTCTTCTTCATATGATGAATTCATGGATCGTTCGTCATCTGACGTTGATGAAGATTTTTTCTTGCGACTCTTGCTTTTCTTTAGTTCTTTTGAAACATCCATATCCACGTTTTGTACTTTTGTACGTTTCCTTTTATAGACAGGTGTTTTAAGTTGACTCTCATTATCCACTAGATCAAGTTCAAGAATTTTAGCAGCTACTACACGTCTGGCACGAATAGGTGGAATATAATTGTCTGACCGATTTTCATCCATAATTAATTCTTGTTCCAAACAACGTTGAACAGCTAAATCATGGTCTACCTTCCTTTCATTCATGATTTCAGTTAGCATATCTATAAGTAGACGTAAACAACATATCATAAAACACAACAACGGTTACGAATGGACAATTAATTTTATCTACAATTAATATTAGAAGTATACATTTTATTTTGGTAAAAACTTTATATCGACCTTAAAATGAAAAGTACCATGAGTGAAAAACACTATAAATGTAAGTTTAAAAACTGCATACATTATATGGATTCTTACTTTTTGAACCTTTGTGTAACTCGACTATATCTCTTAGTCGAGCTATCTCCTGTTCAGTCCACTCACTGGATTCTCCATTGTTGAGTAAAACATCGATTTCGTCCGCTAAGAGGTTTAGGGGGACGAACTCTAAAATGTTTATCAATAATGAATTTTATGGTTTGCATTATACGGAATTCAAAGATGTTGAACTTATACATAGAAATTTTAATATTTTATAAATCAAATTCCTTAAAAACAATAGTGCTGAATGTATAAAAAATTCGATTGGTTGCCTATTTGCACCCAAATGAACATATTAGAGCAAAAGCACTTGTGTGAAAATTTTTTGAAGATAACTTATCCGTCTAATAAAAAAGCAACCTTACTCAATATACACGAATAATTCATTTAATTCTGAAATTCGATCTACGTTTACAATTTTAATGATCAGCCATTCTCTCACCTACGTTGAGAATTTTCCATTTTTACATTCATTGGAAACCTCACTACAGGTTCATATAATGCAATCTAATATTTATGCAAAAGGGAAGTTAGTAAGATCTTTCCTACACGACTATCTACCGAATTAAATGATTTAATCGAAGCCGCTTCTACTTGTATGTTCACTCAATCCATAAACAACACTATTGTAATTTTAAGTTACTTAGAAATGTATGTAAACAGTAGTGTTCTTTCCTAATGTCAATTCTTTGTAACCATAGGCCTAGTACTGCCTTCTGATATTCCACAGTGCAATGAAATACAAGGTTTTAAGAGTACCCATTAAATTTATTTGTGTATTATCATAAAAAATTCGCACCTGTTGTCCTCATAATCCCACCGAACATTTTATAACTCGTTACTAATACTTTTACAAATGACACTAAATTTAGAGACATACTGTTAACTGAATCAAAGTTGTTTAATCAGTGTTGACTTTATATATTCCATTGTAAAACCTGCATAACTAATGTAAAGACATGATAGAGTTAACGGAGAATGTTGATGCTGTTTGTGGGGTTCGAACATGCCTAGTTTTATAGTCTAAAACATTACTACTGAACTATTCGGGCGGTGACTGATCACATGTACGACTGTGATATTTACAATTAATTGATCACTGAGTGGTGACCAATATCATGTTCGTCTAGTGTCTCTTAGTGTTGATGAAATATGCATGGAGTATTAGGTTGTTATTTGCTCAGAATAAAATAACAATAAGAATATTTTAGAGAAAAAAATATATAAATTAACTAACGTAATTTCTTTGAGTTGTTTCGCTGATGTAATCAAGCCCAATATAATCAATCTAGCAATAATTTGTCGACGAGTTTTACTTGGATCGGAAAAATGTTTGACTAATAGATCAGCTAAATCGTTACCTATTAAATTAGTTTTAGAAAGAGAAGAAACAGTTATTTCATTTTATCAAAAAGACATGTGATTATGAGGACTTATTCATTCCACTATGATCATAGTCTTCGGTCAGTCTCCATTTATATCCCGAATCTAACTTTAATCAAGACTTTTTCCACACAGAGTAGGTACGTTGTACTGCTTTACAAATAACTAATTGTTTTTAGATTGTAACCAACTGTTGAATAGAATTCGCCAAAAAAATAAATCCTTGCTACACTCATTGTTCCTGATTTTATTAACATTATTTTTATGATAGATAGTGTTCATATGTAGAGCCACATACAATTTCTAACCATGAAGAACAAATAACCAAGTAGGTTTGATTGAATATCTTCAGAATTGTATTACTTGTTACCAACAACACATTAGCCTAAGCGGATTATATACATTCAAATTATTATCATTTCCCTATACCATCCGATGCAAATAAAATATTCCTAATAAATTACCTAATAAAAGAAAACCTAAACATAGAATGTGAATAAGAAAATTCATTTTATTCAAAAATATTATCACGAAATAAATAACCTACCAGAAGGTACAGGATCATGACGATAAGCTTCAAATAGTTGAGTTAATTCTTTATCATGTTCACTGGTCCAATGAATAGTTTTCTTACTGTAAAAAAATTTTGAATTCTTTTAAAAATGATTCGTTCACTGTAGCTGAATCATTAACGCAAACGAATAAGTGGGAATAATAAAACAAACGGAAACGATTTTATCATGTCACGAGAGAAAAATTGTTTTTTCCCCGTGATATTGCAGACTGCATTTCTAACATAAGTTAAGGTACGAACAGGCATGATATATATATAGTGTTAACTTACTTGCTCTCAAAAGTACCATATCCTTGAACTGTCTCATAACTTTCTTTAGGAGTTTTAAAGAAAAGAGTTTCAATTAGAATGTAGTTGTTTTTCTCCTCAGCTTCAAAGAATTTTCTTAAGATATATTTAATGAGATTTGCTAATTCCTGATAAATTATAACAGGAAAAAAACATAACAAAAACCTGATAAATCAATTTGATTGTAGCATGAATGACTGACAATGTTGTGCTAATGAGGTATGGCAACTTGGACCGATGCATATATGTGCTTAATCCTAAGTTGTAGATGACTGATAAAGATGACTATACGAGACTTTAATAAACGATACATATTTTTCAACTGTCATCCTAAATAAGTATAACAAGTGTCAACTAAATCAAAATAATTTTAATGAAAAAATTCTCTCAAAATGATTCATTTAGAAAAATATAAAAAAATAAACACTTTCAAAAATAACAATTCTTCTTGATGAACACAGTGCACATCAAAATATTTATGGGTAGGAAAGGTTGAACACAAGTGACCAGTAGACAAAGAGGCCTAATAAAGTGAAATGGTTGCTTTGAATGCAGGTTCGTTTGGTCTGTCTCTGCACCGTACTGTCCGAAACAGGTACAGATGAAAACTTAGCATATAGACAAATTAGCATTGAAGAATGAAACCTATTTTAGTAGTCTAACATCATAATATCTATCAAAAAAATCATCCCATGTCAAAACAGTTAGTCGTTCAATTAAAGACAATGTATGGGAAAAAGAATTTTTACTTAGCCAGTTTACTTGACCAGGTTGTGAACTAGAAAAGCAAACATAAAAATGCAACTGTGGAACCATTATTACTCATCACCTGTACGTTTTGACCAAGGTTGTTTATAATTATTCAAGTCTTTTATTCAAAGTTCAGCAGCTAAAGTGAGGAATGCTATATTAAATAACTGTTAACAACTGAATAATCATCCACAATATCGAATAAGGAAATGCTTCATCGTATCGAAGCAGACAGACACCCATAATGAGTAATAAAGTTCAGTAATCAAGAACAAAATAGTATACTAGGGTTAGAGAACGCATGAAAACAAGTTTGAACCCTCAACCTAATAGTCGAAATCATGTGTTAAAATCACTGAACCATAGTTCTGCTAAAAAGAGAAATGATACTTTTATGAACCTGTTGGTATGGACTATTTCGGTAACCATTGTAGCAACTGTTAAGCTTGGTTTATAACTTCTTACATTGTTACTAACGTTAATTACATCAATCTGTGAAATACAATTTCCCACTTTCTATAAACAAGCTGACAATAACACGGTAGAACTTTCAACCCCCAGGCTCTTATCGAAATTAAATAAAATATTTCACCCATAAAACCTCAAGCATTTAATGCTACATGGAGGTGTGCGTTTTCGAGACACACAAACATACCCATATAATTTATCCTCTTAGTTATTCGAAATAAATGTTACCGTAAATGTTGGATAAAACATTGCCTAAAATGATTGTAACAAGTAATATAACAGCGAAAACATATACTGTACAAAAGTGACTTCCACATAAAATTGGTTATTATACTCACTTTAAATTCTGGCGAAGTAGCTAAAGCACGATCGTGTAGAAATTTTTGAAATACTCGAAATAAGCGTAATTGAAAAAAGCAACCAGGTAATCTTTCTCGTACAGCCAATCGATGAATAGTATGTACAATTGCATGATTGACTGATTCAGGGTTATTATCGTAATTCTCTAAAAGTAAACTAAATAATGTAGATAGTATTCATTAATTGGCTAAACAAACGGATTATAATAATTATTTAACGATATTAAAACACTCACGTCCATTAAGCACTGAAAATAATTATAGCAAACACCTTTTTGGACTATCAAAAACAATTTTTCTCTTTTTCCTTTCAATGACACTAGCTTGAGCTTAAATACACATAAATACGACAATCAGATACCTGTCGCATGAGTTTGTACAGATCTGTTCATCTACGTACAGTATTAGCAAGAATTTTAATTATGATTCATTGTATGTCAAACTCTTTGAATTCTAAAGCTCAACATCATCATCATTCTAATCAGCCTTACTAGAATATCATATCATAACGAAATTATTGATAAACTCACTACAAAGTGTACATCAATTCTGGATGTAATTAAAAGATTACAAAAAAGTTTCTGTTTTACAATTCGACATCAGGACACTTGAGTAATACAAATTGTTTATTTTATTACACAACTGAAACGTCCAACAGTTATTTGTTCTACATATTGATATTTATTACTATATCTCATTGACAATTCTATTTTCAATGTGTCTGGTAACAAGAAAAAAATTAGTTCACAGTCTCTAGTATTCTGTTCCTCATTCAGTAATGAATCTCAAGTATTTTTATTAAATTCTAAGTATAAAGCAGTATTGCGAGCGATAGACAAATTATATTTGATAGTTCTATAGGTAATATATTATTCAAACTTTGATTTAGATTAAATAAACAATAAATTATAACTTGTTAGTAACAAATATGATTCTATTTGTTAATTATTAGGTACGAGAATGAAGCAAATTACGTGAAATCCCACTTAAAACAAATATTTTTATATAGCTGATGATATTTTCTTTAATTCAAGGAAATGGTGAAAACTTACGTGTAAGCATGTACAACACGTGGATGAACAAATTTGAGCATAAAAGCACTAAAGTCTAGAACTACTTCTTTTTCAGTAGTAACTAGTTCTTCATCATTTGAATCACTTATGCCAAGTTCTTCGTTGTAAAGGTTATCACTATCACTACTATTCGATGAAGAATTATTCAGTACCTCCTGTTCTTCTTCTTCCTCTTAAATGTATGAAGGAAATAAACGGGTTAATTTTGGATAGAAATCAAACACAGAACTAACATATTATTTATAGCAGATTAATTCTGGTATAATAGATCATCAGAAAAAAATAACTACATTGATAAAGTGGTAATATTGTGAAAACAGTAAGAGAGAAGCAAGGTGTTCCATGAATAAACAGACTAGAAAGGTACAACTCATTTAGTAATACTATCAAGAAACACATTTTTAGTTAAGTGAGTTTATCCCACTTGAGTAAAAAAAAACTATGACAGGGTCTCCACCCGCTTTTATTCTACACCATATCTGATAACGGTCCCAAGTCAATGAAGTTGCAGAGTTTCTAGTACCTTAACTAGATAGTCGTAATGGACCGATAGATAGTAGTCCTACACAAATATCCTTCATACCATAGAGCCGTGTTGCACACCGAACACTCGTCTGTTTTTACGACCCAGTTGCAGTATGGGAAAATTATGTGTGATGTGCGAGATGCTCCAAAAGCATTCATTAAACACGATCAGGAAGTTGAAGTCAAGGTTTCAAGAACGTGACACTAATCAGAACATTGTCACTAAACCGGAATACAATTACTGGACCTCGGAGGATTACCAAAAGGTGCTGCTATTGGGCATGACAAAGTTACGAAAGCAACGATGATCGACAACAGACTGAAAATAACGGATTGGCCTTTCACCATTTCATTGGTTTGGAGTACGCAAATTAAAAGCTTCAGTTTACTGGACATGATTATTTGGTACGGGGTTCTTGATAAAGCAATAATGTTATTAACATTATTTTTCAGTTCCTTTTCAATGTAAAACGCTATTTCAAAGATGGTTCGTGTCAATGCTTATTTTCACAGTGTACAATAAAGCACCTGACTGTTAATCTGTTAGGAGTTTTGTATGTCCTGAAGAGTTGAAAACTCACGGAATCTTAGTCTCTGTTGACTTATGCCACCTGCAGGACATGTAAAATCTTTCGTTTCCTCAACAAAACGATAAGAGAACTGTAAAATGAAGATTTTGAGAGGTGAAAACACATATTCAATGCATGGTCATATACACGGTAAATCCACAGAGGTTATACAATATTGATAGAAGACTTGAAGTTTTAGGTGAAAATGATAAATAAGCCGATTAAAATGTGAGTTTATACTAAATGATGTGGCCGATAAGTTCTGTAAGTGTATAACCATTACTTTTTCTGGGTTGCTGTTCATGTTAGCATAGATATAATTTTGGAAAACAAAAGGAACGACCAGACAAAGCTACGATATCAGTTCATATAAAAAAACCGACTGCAGTTGTGCAGAATGTTCTTTATTTTCCAGTAAATTCTGAACACAGTATTACTGCATACTTATATTCGTCTTAGCTTTATATTCTATTACTGTTTGCACTATTAGTCTCGATTTTCCTACGTCTACCGTCAATTTTCTCTCCGTAAAGATATGATATATAGGAACTTGAATAAACAAACGACTGTGTCACCTTGTGCATATTTATATAAAATATGCGATAAACTGTATATGGTCGAATATTTTATAATAAGTTGGTCGCATTGTTCTAATCCTAACAGAAACATATCATTAAGGTACTTTGGTTGTAATTCAATGAACTATAGAAACAATAGAGTGAGAATAATAATATCACAAGAATTTAAAGAACTAACCTAGTTCAGTCATATGAATTTGCTGTAAAGCCCCTAATACATTCAAGCATTCAGGCCGTAATCCTGCAGCACGCCCAGCATCAATCGTTGAATTATCTTCCTCAATTGAAACTGGGGCAACTTCTGGCCAAAGACGCCACATTCTCTTGGCCATTGATAAAGCTGTTTTAGCTGAGCCTGCAAATAAAGCAGCTTGAACTCGACGAATGGCCGATTTCAACTGCTGATCTTCACTGTTTCCTGTAGTTGCATCGAAGAGTCTTGTATCATTCATTTCATCATCACTTTCATCCTGTTCATTCTCTTGATATGCTGTTCCAAGTAAAATCTCTATTAAGGGACGTTCTAACTGATTAGACCATTGTTGTTCGAGACGGCTAATTCTCACAGCTTCAGGTTCCTGATTTAAAATATCTCTTTTATGAGTTTCCTTTTTAGGTTTAGAGGAACGCTTTTTCCTTCGGTGAACTCTTCGACGTTTCACAATAATTTTTTTATTGCTACCGCAGATCTTGTTGGAAAGTAAAGTTATAAATAAGTGAGAACCTTCAACCAAATCACGCAAACAGTCTCTAGAAGAGAAGAAATCATGATATTTTAATAGAAATTAGCTTATCACGAAACTTATAACAACACAGTATACTGATTGACAAGAGACTAAAATAATAGATTGATCGTTCATTATTTCATTGGTTTGAAGCACGCAAGTTATAAATTCCAGTTTACTGGATATGTTTATCCAATACAGGGTTCTTGATAAAGCAGTAATTTTCTTGATATTATATATATAACCATTTTCTCGATGGTTGCTTTCAGTCTGTCTTAAGATTTTACTGTTAGATTCACATCTAAATGGTAGGGAAATATAAACGCTTCACTTTAGAGCAGAAATAAAGGTTTTGGTGTTGACTGGCTTTTGCATCTGTTTAAAAGCTTTGGTGAGTAACCGTTTGATATCAATGTATCAGTCAGCAGTTTTGCATTTTCTTTAACAGTATTTGTTGTACATATTCTTTGAGTCCTGTTAAAGAGGCACTTTATCAAGCCTCGCTTGTGTTTTAATGGACAGAAACAGTGGAAATTTAAATACTGACCAGTCCAGGTTGGCTTCCTATAAACGAACAGCCTTATAGCTCCATACTTCCTTGGACTCAAAAGTTTGACTAAAAACAACAACTGATTATTACTTTCTTCCTCATAGGTTCTTACGATATCATCATGTACCCTATTGAGTTTATTTAATAACTGAGTAACATAGGAATTTTTATTATATATGATTAATATATCATCTACGTATCCCCTATACAGAGTTAACTCATCACATTTTTAACATATGACATAAATACATTAGCTAAGAGAGATCCCAAAGGGTTAGCCAGAGCAACATCACCAACTTGCAGATGTTCACTTTCAAGCGTGAATTCCACTTTTGCAGTTCACAATAAAAGTAGTTCTTTTAAAAGTGTTGACCGAATAGGAAAAAAGGGGAGAATTACTCGATATATAGTCACAAAGGAAACCAAGTCTTGGCTAAAGGTACATTCATAAGAAAGAGGATTTACATCAAAATGATGCATACTCTTTTCTTTAGGATTAATCTCATCACGAAGATCAGTTAGTTAAAATGTACCTTTCAAAAAAAACTTAAATAATTTATCACGGACTGTATTTGACAGTTTAGCTAACTATTTTGCTAGTTTATGTGCAGATACATCACATATAGATAATATTAGTTTACGAATTCTAAGTAATTCATATAAATTCGGAAGTACAGAACCGGTAGGTTTTAGCACATTAAATTCCTCTTTGTTTATAACGTTTATTTCAAGGAGCTTCATTAGGTTGGAATTTACTCTGGACTCCAATTTTCTAACATTAATATTGGATGGAACGTCCGCCAGGAACTTTCATCAACAAACATAGATAACATTTTCACTTTATAGTTGCATTTATTTATAACAACCAGCCAAGAACCTTTGTCAGGTTTCAGGATCATGATATGTGGTCTACATCGGAGGTTTTTTACATCATGAAAATATTTAAAAGTTAAGATATTCCTGTGTATAATTTGAAAACAATGAAAATGGTCGGAACTATACATAGAGACTACCTAAAATTCATAAACGTAATAATGCATTACGACCGCTATTATCCATGTGTGGTTCACTTACACATGAACTAGCATAATGGTTAGCTAAATTGTCAAATCCAATCCGTAGTAAATTGTGTAATTTAAGGAACACGTGCCTAGATGGCTTCAAAATCAGTTAGTGTCAGATGTTCTAATAAACGTGGGAAGTAGGAAACCATGTTCATTTGTGGCAAAACACATAATTAAAACGGGACATAGAATTAACATCAACACAGCTTTTAAAACGTCGTATAGAAATTGTTAGGGACGGATTCTTAGGTTTATAGAACTCTTGGCTGCTCGTAAATTAAAACTCCCATTATATGTACAGAAACAGTTTGTTGTAACCTGGTAATCCTTATGACCTAAGGTAATGCGATAATTCCTCATTCTTTCCATACGATATTATTTTCTCTCTCATTTATTTATAATTATCACATTCTTTAAATGAACTTTCATTTAATTGACCTTCATTATTTTCATATAAAATGCCTTGACAAGTATGTGTGATCAGATTGTCCGAAATATATAGCGCAAATATATTACATTTTTCAGATCCATTCCGTCTTCTTATTGATCTATAAAAACTTAGGAAAGGGATTGATTGCTTTGCAAAAATAACTTCAGTTTGTTTTTAATCCAGTATTACTAATTAGACTGAATTTAACACTATATATGTAGCCAGAAATATTCTACTCAACACGTATATATAACTTTATATACCAGATTACTGATATTACTCAGTTGAGTGAAATCTGATACGTGGATCCAAGGTAACCTGTGATAAATAAAACTAGTCAGTCCATTCTATTAAATTTAATATATGGTTACTAAACGGATCCCAAAATGACTTTGGAGACATTATCTTAATCAAGATAAAATGGATTGAACATACTTGGACATGAATATTTCATTGTAGTCCCTCAAAAGATTTGGGAATAGTTCTTGATATTCAGCAACATAAAATACATTGGCTGTAAATAAAAGCGAAAACTATGTAGTTAAAAGTAAATATTATTATAAAGTGGTCAATCATAAATAGCATAGGACCAGGCACGAATACTAATATACTATATTCATTAGCAGGCTACAACCTGACTGTTGAATGCTTTGGTGAGTTACAAAACTGCAAGCAATGATTGGCCTGTGTCGGACTAATCAGCGCCAATGGAGGAAACGAGATGTAAATTTAATATAAAACTCTAAAGTTTTTAATATCATATCTTTGTTGATCGGGTTTATTGAACATATATTATTCCTTCTCAGTTCTTGTTCCGATTTAGGAAAAACTATTGAAGTATGGTGTCCAAGGAGTACTAGGCACTAAAACGTAAAAGCATTACATGGAAAAAAAGAAACCGTGACTAGTGGAGTGCAAGACAGTCACCAACAGAAGACAATGGAAGATGGTCGCGCAACATCGTGGATTGATTGAAGTTAGACATTAACACTGTTGGATACCAGTTCAGTGGTCCAGAGGTTAGGCGTTCGCACGCGAGACCGAAAGTCCTGGGTTTAAATCCAGCGTGCGAGATCATGGATGCGCACTGCTCAGGAGTCCCATACTAGAACAAGACGGTCGTCCAGTGTTTCCAGGTTTTCAATCGTGATCTAATATTTGTCGATTTATGATCTCAACAAAAGCTCAAAAATCTCTACAACCCTATACTGAAAAATAAACATGATTAGACTGGGAATTAAGCGTGAAATATAAGCAAAATGCAGTAGGTTCCATCAAAATTTTTATTAACTATTGATTTGTAGTTTTAGACTAGTTAGAAAACAGAAACAAATTTTAAATAAGGTAATGTTTAGTAACAAATGACCGAATTGAAGCAATGTTTAAAAGAATACTATTAAATACATTATTTTTATCTAATCGGAGGATCACATCTTTATTTTTTGTCCATTGAAGTAGCATTTAGTAAGAAGTATGGGAAAATAAACCGTAATTAATGGTCGGGTCAAATTTTTAAGCACCAACTGAAAATCAAGTAAATAGCATGGATCCAAATTTATTAGGACCAACAAACAATTCCGGTCAAGTATTTCATTATGAAAACAATATTACTAAATGCCAACGGGAAGTTTGTGAAAGTTGGAGGAGTCAACTAACAACCTATTACAAATATTTTGAGTACTAGACTTTTTTCATAAAAAGTCTATACTTGACTTTGGATGATTTTTCAATGCAAACCAATTGTCAGGGAAACGCTGACAAGGAAACACATCTATAGGTCGTATTAATAAAAATAATATATTTGTAATATCCCAATGAGTAGAAAATAGGATTTTTTGACGTTTCGTGACTTAGTGTAAGTCACTTCTTCAGAGAACAAATAACCAAATTAAAATCAATCCAAGTTTAAATAGTACAATTTAAACTACTACTATTTAAACTTGGGTTAATTTTAATTTGGTTATTTATTCTCTGAAGAAGTGACTTACACTAAGTCATGAAACGTCAGAAAATCCTATTTTCTACTCATTGGGATATTACAAATATATTATTTTTATTTATAACAATTAACCCAATGCTCAATTTATTCGAAATTATCAAATCAAACCTTGGTAATGACACCTATAGGTCGTATTCCTTGCTACTAATGACATTGAAAAAAGTTAATTAGACAAGAATGTCTACCCCAATAAATTTTACCCTTTCATTCAACGACAATAGAAACTATGTCTTCTTTATACAATGGAAAATTCATCATCATTTCCCAACTTCCCATTTAAGAGGCAGTTCAACAATAAGTATAGCTTCTAAAATTGTGCACATTTAGTCAATTAACAATTCATATGGGGAAAGAGTTGAAAAAATTACAAGACGCCCTCTGTTTTATTTTTTAATACACAACAATCGATTCCAAATCCCTTATAACACCTTTTTGTTTTTATTTCACTAATTTATATTTTCTCGAATAGTATCTTCGATGCCTAATCGTTCCCATTATCACTGATACTGTTACTTCCTTTATTACTCTGGGATTTGGATTCACAATTTCATTTCTCTGTGCTAAGAGGGTATGGCGACTTGCACCGATGTACATACGTACCAGGTTTTAAGTTGTGACTAAAACAACAATCGATACCCATCATTATGCCGGTTCCACTGTCTTAAAGTCAGTCATACACATAGAATAATAAAGGTGCATGAAGCGAATTTCAAAAGAGACGTATGGAAAAACACCCTAAACTCGGCACATTTGACTTCCATTAATCTCACATATAGGCTTTTTTTAATCTTTAATTACCAAATGATAACTTGAGCCACTACATATTGTTAGCCAGTTTTCAGCTGATTGAATGAACTAATACTGAATTCACTAGGATATATAAATTACATAAAAAATAATCTTAAAAAGCAGTGACTGAGATGCGACTTAAACTGGATTATGGATTGATGAGATTGTGTTAACTATGCTTTAAAACTAGAATCAGCCAGAAACGACCGAATAGTCGTTGTGCCTAAGAATGTACGCAAAGAATACACATTTATAATACGTTCTGATCATTTCTAAATCTAAAATGTACAATAAATGGCAGCTTCTATACAAAGTTTGTATATTCGCTAAACGTTAAACTTTGTGTAGAGGCCTCTTCAAATTCGAGACTAACATTTTTCTAAATGTGAATATTTTGTTTTCAGTTTCTGTTTAGGATTGGTTTTAACTAATTAAATATGACTGCTAGACAAGTATACTTATGGGCTTTCATAAAATATTTACAGCTTGTCGCGAATCTAATCGCTGGTAAACTAAAGAATTACCACCATGAAGGTTCGTATATCTTCTTCCTCTTCTGTCCCTTGGACAAACGAGAGACGATTACTATAAAATTCATATACGACTGGTAGTAAGCACTTGAGGATGAATGTATAGGCCAGTTAGTCACTGTTTAACTGTTAGAAAGTTAAATGTTGATAACGCAGAAATGTTGTAGAAATACTGCACATTTCGTGATGGGATCTTATTACATTCAAACGTATAGTATTCACCAAAGCAATTTTTGCCATTATTAAATCATAAAATGATACGGGACAGTAATAAATATCGATCAACTCATTAGATAAATGTAGCATGATTCATTATGTACCAATAATCGACTCAGCAACATTAGCTTGTGAACGTAATCGTTCTTCAACACCATCTTGTGTTTCATCGTCACCTGGTTGAACAGTCTTATCTGCTCCAGTTACATGAAGCATACGATTTAGGCAAGTGAGAAATTCTTTATAACACGCTACAGCAAGTTCTAAACGTCGAGCTGCTTGGATTGCACGTTGATTTGAAGCGCCACCACGTTTATCGGTTACTAAATGTTCTTTATAATTTATTACTTGATCATATATCCAATGAAAAATTGGCACACTGAGAGTTTCACTAGGGGAACAACAACAGTAATTATTAACAGAAAAAAAGTGTAAGGAACGAGAAAGTTATTTCAATTAACTGTTGATACTTATTAACATACAACGCGTTATACGAAAAGAAAAAAAAACACTCTAAAGAATGGAACATAGAAATAGGAAGTGATTAAATACTTTACTCATGAACAAAATACAAAACAATACAAGAATTACTTAAATATTGACAAGATATTATATCTGTAATAAGTAAAATAAGAAAATATTAGCAAACAATTAATTCAGAATACTTATGAAGTTTATCAGTTGATAGCTTGTAAGGTCGGATGATTATAATCAGTTTGAAGATATCTGAATTATAACCTAACGATAAGTATTGAACATGTATCAAGAAGTACTCCTTTCAATGGGTAACCATCACTGATTCATTTCACACATATCAAATTGAATAAAACGAAGATAATAATAGCGAACATAATAATATATGGATCATCAAATATTAAGGTGTTCATAATGCTAATTTCCATATAAAAATGTATTTAAGAACAATTTTTTTCATTATCGTGACAAGAATGAAAAGGCAATATTATTTTACTTGCATGCTTTAATGATCCAACCAGTATACGACTACATGTGTTACTATTCGTTGTCGGATGTTTCGAGAAGTCTTGATTTTCGAACTTGCTGAAATTAGTCACATAGGTGTATCTACAGCCTCCAAGAAACAAGTAATTCAAAAATGTTTAAACAAGCGTTGTGTAATACTGAATTTGGAGACAACACTAGTGAATCCCTTTGTACAATGAGGTTCGGTAATAATAATGACCACACCTCAAACTTGGCTAAAATGACTTCATTAAACTAGGAACGTAACACTGACCATTATTTAGTTATCGACTAGTGTTGGTCTTTTTTCTATCTGAAAACAATCTAGTTTTATGAGTAACAAACTGGTGTGTCGCTAAAACAATCATAAGTCAAAATATAATCAGCTACAGAACATTACTAAAACATTTAACTTCTTAAAACTATTTAGATTATCTAGTGAATTATTAACATTTCAACAAGTTGTAAAACAATACATACCTTATATAGTCTGAGCGAAATCGATAAACTCGACAAAATGCCATAAAGAATCGCATTGTCCAAAGGAAATAAGTTTCATCATTCTCCTGAGTAGCTTGACGAGTTAAACCTGACTGTACAACACGCATGATTGGATTATAGCAGAACTTTAAAAATTGCCAACAGAAACCCTAAATTTTTTGTAAATTATATAAAAATAAAAATTGCCAAATTATAAGATAGAAATTATTATGATCGATTTACAATACAATGTCAGGATATTGGCAAATGGAGTAACACTCAAAATGGTTACTTTTTGATTGGAAGTGGTTTTTTATTGTTGAAGCAGTAATAATGGAGCGCGTATATTCTATCATGATCAGGTTACGCAAGTAGGTACATAAATAATGAGCCTTAATTTAAACTGTTCGAGAAACTATAAACTGGCTACTTTATTTCAGTCTAAGTGGAAGTTGCTAGTTTTTGTGGATGATTACCAACAGTACAAGTAAAACAGGAGAGTAAGAACCAGAGTTTGAACATATTTCTACACTACAAACAACACAACACAGCAAACGTTGTCAGCGAACAAATGAACAACAATCAGTGACACCTCTGGCTGACGGAAAATATAAAGCAGAAATTTATGAGTAGAGCGAAAAAGATATAATTAAAGTAAAAATTGATTTGAGTTTATTACTTGTAAACATAAATAATATGATCGAATAACGTATTGTTAAATCAATACCTGCAGATATAACTGGACAGCCAAAATTGAACGCCGGTGTATTGGTCGGTCAACTAAAGGTTTACGATGTTTAGGCTTACGGAACTTTCGCTTTCCTACATCTAATTCAACGATGCCAACATTATCCACCACATCTACAGAACTGTCCAACTGTTTCGAAATTACAGTTGCCATTTGAGCTTTATGGGTAATATCATGATGGTAAATCAGTGGACGTTCGCTCAAAGATGGTGTATTTACCAATTCAAAAGCACCACCAAATCTTGCTTGCCTATATAAATAAAATAAAATTGTAGAGTCATCATAACTACGTATATATTTCAAAATAAAACAAACCAATCTATGATTATTTGTACTGTAAAATCTTTCCAAATTAACACTATCTACAGAAAGTTATCAGCTTATTTACTTCGTTTATAGACATTTTATTTTCACGTTAAGTGTCTAACAGTTGATTTAGTTGACCGTTCTAGTGGTGATATTTCTACAGTTAAATATCAAAGAACGCTACGTAAATGTCATGATTAACAGTTATGTTTTATTGCTGGCCAACATATAATGTTTTGTAACGGTGGTTTAGTGGTTGAGGAAGTCGACTCCCACCCACTCAGTCTCTTGTCCAAACCCCGCCTCACCTACTTTGGTTTGGGCGCCTGAGTAGTATCATTAGCCCTCATAGTGAAAGTTTAGTGGCCATGATGATCTGACTCCTAGATCGTACGAATGATTGTTATCACCTTTTCTCGTATATCATTGTCGACTTAAATCGCGTTAGTCAATAACGGAATTAAATAAGTCGAATAACGAGAATTGACTTGAGAATACATATATTTTGAATATGAAGCGAATAAAACATAGCAAAGCAAAATGACACGCATGGAAGATGGCTGGGAAGCCAACTGCATTTTAATCAAGCGTTACTCAATATTTATAGTCAGACAAAATAAAGCTACAGACATGTGATTAATGGAATAAGAAGGGCACACACATATACGTCCATATAAAAACAGTCAAAACTGATAAGCGAATAATTGACAAGGTCAAAATATGACTCAAGTAGAATGAATAGAATGGAATGTCCGAAAGCTAGAATAAGGTATATGGGCTTAACATAATAACTGACACTACAAAAGTGTGGCTTATACCCAAGTACCTAGAGAATGAGTTAGTTTAATTTTGTTTTATTGTCAGGTCTTGTAGTATTCTTTGCATTTGTATTGAGATTTAATGGCCTTTGTTTGGTAATAAAATCAATTATTTAGTATGTTGAGTCACTTGAAGATAGTAGTAGTTTACACTAGTTGAATGTATGAAATTACAGTTGATTTCATAGAGAGCATCGTTTGGTAACTATAATTATTTTTAAAAATGGAGTAGTGACTAGTTTACGATATGTTTCAATAAAATAAAGATTCATGTATCGTAATAAAAATGAAGTTCACTTTTACCTAGTCTTTCTTCATATAGACAGATATTCAGTCAAAACTATGATATAAATATGGCTGTGAAGTGCATTTACAATGCATTTACCTGCTTCGGTCTGGGCACCCGGGCAGTATCACAGCCCACACACACACACAAATATGGTGTGGCGCATATATATTTGGTGCCCTCTTGTACCAATATTTATGTGTTGAAATAAATAAATAATCATTACGAAATCTAGTTCAGATAGAAATGAATAACTGTAAACAATGTTTAATGCTGACCGTCACAAGAAAAATCTTATCTTGTGAAGTGTTGTTTGAAAAACATAAATACTTGAATGTCAATCGCTAAGTTGGTTCAAACCAAGCTCATTTGATATGGCTTGGATACCGAAACTTCTAGACTTCATATAAAAGATCTAGCTTAACATATCTGATTAAAAAAACCTGTATGTGGTTTCTGAACTGTTCTATGACTGATTTAGTCTTCGATTCTATGTTATTATCTTATTCAATGAAGATAATGAACAATATAAACAAAATTTAGTGAGTTTTATAACGAAAGACTAAATACAATACCAAACATCACGAAACAGAAGTCATAGTGCCATTGTTTATCATTTGAAATAAATTTACATCAAATCACTCACCTTAGGTTACAGGCGTAAAGAAAATTCTTTCGTTCCATATCATCTCGAATTTTCAATCTTTCAATAAGTCTACATCATTGTTTTCTATTAAAAATAACTGAAACATACTTTCTCCGACTGTTTAGCTCAGATTTAGTTTCTGCTCTGTTTCCAGCACAGGCAAGTAGCTCAGGTGTCTATGGAAATGAAGAGAAATATTTGGATGGATTATCTGATTCTTGAATAAAAATAAATTGCATACAACCCGTAGCTATACTTACAAGCTACAAAAAAAGATTACGCATAGAAAGACCGTGAATACAGGACAAAGATGAAGCTAGTTAGCACCTTGAACAAGAAAATGAGAAGTAACAGTGCTAGATTTTATTTCTGAATTGGTCAAACATTTATTTAAAAAATCATAACATTTCCCCGTTATAATACTTGAGCAAAATTTAAAGAATAAAATAGTTGATCTTTCATGATGTAGATATTCACAAATTTCTTGTTAGATCTCCCTTTAGAAGCTATGGAATAATAACTTAGACGTTTGATAATAAAAGGAAAAGGTGAAAAGTTCTAATAAATATTGGCCTTTTTAAAATTTGGTTGATATGATGTAACACTTTTTATACAGGTTTCCATATCTAGTTAACAATAAAATATTCATTTATTCATCAGTTAATAAAACTTTCATCCAGAAATAGGTAAAAGAAAACTGTTGTATTGAGGATTTTCTTTGTGGACACTTGATTAAAGTTTATCCTGAGAGGTTTTATCGTCCATAGTACATATTAGAATCATATGGATACAAACATAATTTCTTTTAAAAAAAAGAAAAGCTTTTTCTGTGACTGGTATTGAGTTGCCAGATAGAGTAAAACTAACCTGTTCCCTTAACATCAGTGATATGATTTCAAGAGTATGAAAAGCGAACATTTGTTCATCATCTGAATTTGCAAGAAACAAAAGTAGTTCATCCCACCCAGATAAATGCATTGCCCATAAAATCTGGTCATGTACAGAAACATCCTCGTCCGTACGCTGAAGCAAATTTGTCTTAACATGACAAAGTCAATTACCTGCTCGCCAACAACATCAGGAGCAATATGAAGTACATTACGCATTAAAATCAAAATACGCTCAATGAGAAGACGATCTTCTTCACTCCTTTCCTCCCAGCTCTAAAAATAATATAAAAGGTATGAAGTAAGTAGTTAATGAGTATTAAACTGAATAAAGAGGTAGTCATATATTAGACACAAAATTATAAATCGTTTATTACAAGTTCAAAACCAGTGCTTAAAGACTAGGCGATATGACCTGAAAATCAGTCCCAATAGAGTAGATGGATTTACTTCCAACATTCACTTGAATCTCTTATAGTTTCACAATAATCAACACATACTTTAAAGATAAAGATGACCAAATGTTTAAAACATGTGCACGTTCTAAGTCTTGAAGATCAATGCTTACATCCGTAAAAATAATAGGAAGCGAATTATTGCGGAACATGATCAAGTGTGTTTATCTATTCTGATGAACTCATTTGGTCAGTCATCATATGAAAAGAAGATACGTTTGTGTGTTTAACCACAAGTAAAGCAAATCACAAAGGTCTGTGAATTTATTTATGAGGAATGAGTAATTTATTTGATAGATATTTAGTCTAACGCAGCATAGAACCTGACACGTATGTACATCGGTTCCAGTTGCCATACCCCATTAGGACAGCGAGATGAAATTGTCAAGGCAAATCCCAGAGTAGCGAAGGTGGTAACAGAAGACACTAAGCATTGAAAATAAGATCTAAAAAACATAAATTAGTAAAATAGAAACATTATAAGGAAACTTTGAGTTTAGGGGAAGGCTAAGTATGGACGCATTTACGCTATAACAAAATATTCTGAGCCACATCACTCACTGGTTCAGACAATCACGTGGACCCCAACCAGGTAGTCTAAATCTGTGCATTTCACATACAATTTACTCATTTTCCTATGGTATCCGTTTTAAAACTAAACTCACATATACACGACTATAATTCTATAACGCATCTAACAGGATTACGAGGTTGATTATATCATTGTACGAGATGGGTGGAACAAGGCTCGAACTTCCCACTAATGACTGAGAATCGATCTATTAAACCACTGAGCTCCCAAATAGTAATAAAAATAGTCAATTCATGCAATACGATCAGTCCAACCGTGTAAACTGGTTTAGGGAGGTTAACATTATTTGTTCCGTGGTCTCTCTCTCTCCCTATATATATATATATATATATATATATATATATATATATATATATATATATATATATATATACATAAAGAACCCGAAATATCATTTCAATTATTGGTGAAAATTCAGTTAATTGAAAAGTTTGGGCATGAATAGTAACTAAAAAACACAAAGTGCAACTTACTCTATCTAACAAACTGCCTACCACACTACACAGGACCCGAAACAATTCTTCATCTGCAAAGTCCTAAGGTTTTATCCATGTACATTTAATACTACCCACTTTTTTGTATGACTTTAGTAAATCATCAACTTGAAGATAGGCACTGTAAAGATCACGATCCTTTGGTATCTCTTGACGAAAACATACAATTGCAGGTTGAGTTAAATTCATAAGAAGACGAATGACCAGTTCAAATAATATTTTATTGCCGCTACAACAACGGAGAAGCGGTATGAGATCACTGGAAACAATGCGGAGTTGACCAAGTTCCCGTCGTATATCACATTCAGCAGTTTCATTTCGTAAGTAACGCAATAAAGTGCGGATGGAAACTATAACTGAATTCAATATCTTTCATAAATACCTTCTGCATCAGTATCTATCTTGTATGTATCGCCCTCACGAAATCCAAGACAAGAGCAACAGGCTTGAATATCCGCATAACGAAGAGTAGGATCAGCCAACATTGCATAAAATCAAAAGCCAACCAAATCTAACAAAGTGGGTAGTGTTCGTCTTGTGATATAAAATATGGATTGACTATAAATACACTGATATTAAACTACACCAATACCTGTGACCAACTTAACCACGAAAGCCTGAAACAAAGTAGCTAACCTGAAACGAGAGTTTTCAAAATAAACCAGCTTGATAGATTAAGTATGTGTAGGATCAGTGAGAGTATCAGCAACATGCAATTATAACCAAAATGTATTTGAAGAGCTTTTTAAGTGCAAGCCGAACAATGACAAATATAATGGGAAGAGATAAGATGATTTGCAGTTCATAGGAGTTTGTGAGGTAACTAGAGAATAGGTTGAAAAACCTATCAGTAATTAACACTATGAGGATAGACAAACAAATGAATACTGCTACTTTTCTTCTTCGGAATAAACTAAGAACCTCATTACCTATATTAAAATACATATAACATTTCTGAATACAACTTGAATTGTGCATAAAGGGATGAATACTTGTATGTACGGGTTGAATCACATGTGTCCTAGAGAACTGTACAGCAGCCAGTACAACTAATGCGATAATGTTTATAACGAAGTAGTTTGAACTAAACTAAATGTAATCAGATAAGTTTCAGGAACCCAATAAATTATAGCAGTAATACACAAGTGTCGAGTGAGAAATTGCCGAGGAAAAATGAAAATGGATATGAGAGAGGAAAACTTATGTATAATGGTTGGACAATGGAACAACTATTATGGACGGCCTAGGTAGTACAAAATTGAGGGGTGGATTAGTGAAGTGGTGCAAAAATGTAGAGTCCCTATGACACCCCAAAAATCAAGTTAAGAAAATGCAGCTACCAATGTGGTGGAGCCAAGTGGACTACTGTTATGAAAAACAAGGCATGATGCACAATATTATTCTTTTCAGTATCATAATTTCAGCTAACGTTTCTACACCCCACCTTGACCTCTTTATTAGATCTCTTGTTCATTTCAATGATTAAGTGTGGTAAAGATAAGAACTTTTATATAGCGAATTATAGGTTACATTGAATAAGTAGAAATTTAAAATAACCCATAGTGTCATTGAATTTTCTTCGCTGAATTCTCTTTTTCTGATTCAAAGTAGAAATTTATTGATTTGTTTTCTTTTAATCTATATGGTCGTCTGAAATGTATTTTAGCAAAAGTGCTAAATCCAGAATGAGTGCCTTGAATGTTAAAATTACTCCGGTACATAAAACTTTAGTGCTCTTAGATGACAGAACTTTATTTATCTCCTCCCTTTAACTACTTCAGAAGGATATTAGATGGTGAGACTTTCCTCAAACTCTCGTCACATTAACCGGATAACAGTTTAAAATAAGTACTGTAAGATAAAGTCAATTATTAATTAACAGGATAACCTGAGAACAGATAATGAATAACGTAAAATTTCGGCCTGTTTTAAATAACTGATTGGAATGTGAGGTTTAACAGTTTGTGCTAAGTCTTGAAGAATGTCTTGAAAAATGTACTACTTAAGTTCATGTGAAGGGTATATGTTTCAATTCGGGATATTGGGTTCAACTTTTGTTAAGAGTTCTTAGCTTTACTTGGTTGACAACTTATTACATATTTGTGCACTCAATTTGTAGCAACACATTCGCGAGGTACTTCTACTAATACGTTCCACAGACAAGTAAGCAGAGCGAAGTTTGAACCTACAATTCAGTATCGACGGTAATGTTATGACGATAAACCACCAACATACACAGAACTAGAACTACAAAGTTGCGATCCCGCTGTTAACGCATTTCATAAGCGTTAGGCACAAACAACTAAGTCACTTAAAACTACACTCATGTGACTACGAAACAGAGATTTCGTTACACATGTATTGAACAACCTGATATGTCTACCATAAATAAAAGTCACCGCTGATTTCATAAATGAATGGTGTGTATCTTTTGCAGACCTACACAGATAACTGATATTTACAGCAGTGAATGTGTTATGAAGAACACCTTCATGAAGACCAAAACAGGCATATAAATCTGATCTTTGTGACGCGAACCAGCCAGTGAAAAATGAATCAAAGTATAAATAACCAGAACTATACCTAGAATCCAGTTCACTAACCAACAATACATAACCCGGTCACTGAGTAGAAGTACAGTGTGAGACCGGTGAATCGGCAATCATATATTCTTTTGTTGATTAGCAATGAATATTATGTTGCAAGAACTGATTTGATTTATTATCTCGTTAGGGCATGAACGTAATCAATAGTTAAATAATGAGAACGGTCTCACAGCCTTCAGATTAAGCAATATTAGTTTACATAGAACACTTAATCGAGTGTGTGCGAATCGTAGAATGAAAATAAACATGACTTGAAAACTAAACAGAAGCAAGCCAGAAAAAAACATACGTAGTGTGCAATTTTAACTACACCTACACAAGCACAGAAAGTCAACAATCCTCGAAACTGCCGCCTTGAGTTAGTGGTATCAACTACCGATAGATTCCATCACAAAAATATTGGCCAGTGAAGAGCCACCTTTCAGTTTCAGTTTGGGAAGGACAGGAGGCTCGATGGCCTATGTTAGTCCTGGCAATGGTGGTCTCTCAGTTGATCCAACTTTCTTTTGAAAGAGTCGACGGATGGAGCCTCAACGACGTGCTGAGGTAGTGAATTCCACTCGTTGATGATTCGATGGGAAAGTCGATAGTCAGCTGACAAGTAATTTGTTCTCGGCTTGTGAACTTTTTTGGAGTGTCCTCGTAAATTCTCTGTTTTGGAAGACAAGAAAAATGAGGGCATGTTAGGTGCAAATTTATCACTAAGCAATTTGTAGACTGTAATCAAGTCGCCTCTAGTTCTGCGATATGACAACGGGAAAAGGTTCAGCTTGGCCAGTCGAGATTCATACGGAAGCTTCGCTATTCCGGGAACCAGCTTAGTCGCCGTTCTCTGAACCTTTTCCAGAAGCTCACTGTCTTTTTTAAGCAGGGGCTAGCCGCTTGTATGCAGTACTCAAGTTTAGGACGAACGAACACTGTATACAAAGTCAAAAACGTCTTGGCGTCGACATGACTAAAAGCCCTACGTATTGACCATAACGTTCTAAAACTTTTGGCGGCTATTGCACGGCAGTGTGCAGTAGTCTTTAAGTCTTGACTAACGATAACTCCTAAGTCATTATATGTCTGGACGACAGGTAGCTCAGTGTTATTCATCGTGTATGTATCTGTGCCTTGATGACCGATATGCATCACAACACACTTGGAAGTATTTATCGGCAACTGCCATGTTTGAGACCATTCAGATAACTTCTTCAGGTCATTTTGAAGTTCTAAGCTATCACTCTTACATCGTATCGTTCTCCATATCTTGACATCGTCAGCATATAGCAAGACCGATGATGATAGGAGACAAGGAAGGTCATTTACATACAAGAGGAATAGCACTGGCCCCAAAACTGTACCCTGGGGCACTCCACTAAGCACAGTTTCCCAGCTAGATAACTTTGAGTTCACCCGAACTCTTTGTTGACGCCCAACTAAGAAGTCTTTTATCCACATCAATAAATTGCCTCCAATCCCGACATTTCTTAACTTATATAACAGCCGGTTGTGCGGAACTTTATCAAAAGCTTTACTGAAATCAATGAAGGCGACGTCTACAGGTAGCTTTTGGTCCTTAAGAGCGCACCAGCTTTCACGAGCCACTAATAAGTTAGTGAGACAAGAATAACCTATTCTGAAGCCGTGCTGCTTCTCCGAGAGGATCCGGTTTTTATCGAGATACTTAAACAGCTCCTTCCGAATAATCTTTTCTAATATTTTAACAACCACACTAGTTAGGCTAACGGGGCGGTAGTTCTCAGGTTTGTGTTTCGTGCCTGTTTTGAAGACAGGACTTACTATGGCGTTTTTCCAATCTTTCGGTAAGCGACCCTGCGTAACGGATAGGTTAAAGCATGTACTTAAAGGGCTTGCAACGAAGTTAGATAATTCCTTCAGTAGCCTAGGATGTAATTCATCGGGCCCCGTGGATTTACCTATGTCAAGCTTATTTAGCAGACCAAAGACATCGAGTTCTTTAATGGTCACGCTATCCAGTGTATGTATGGGGGGATCTGTATACGCTGACGAGAAGGGCGCTTCTATGGTATACACGTTGCTAAAGTAGTTCGAGAACGCTTGAGCCTTACCAAAGTCGTCCTCCACTAATGATGAAGCAGTACTGTCTCCCCATAGAGCAGGAATATTTCCTTTTCTCCTTGTCCTTTGGTTTATATAGGAATACAAGCGTTTAGGACATTCTATGGATTCCTTAACAAGTTTTTCTTCGTACAATTTTCTAGACTTACGGAGGGTCGAGGCACAAGTGTTCCGAGCCTTTCGATACTGAGATTTTGACACATCAGTCTTTTTTAAACTGTGATGATACTCAGAAACAAAAAAATGTATCAATGACCAAAAGTGAAGAGCTGTAGATTGCTAGGACCAAAAGTACCAACAGATACAGTTGAAAAGAGATACTCAAGAGTACCAACGACAAAACAGTAAAAACGATACTTTAGTCGAATACTTTAGTCTTCAGTCTTCAGTAATAAGGATAGTAGGTTGATGAACCTGTGTTAATCCTGACACATTGCTTTCCATTGAAGGTCCAGCTTTTCCTTGAAAGTATTCACTGATGGGGCTGATACCACTTGTCCGGGTAAGGCGTTCCAATGATTGACTACTCGATGAGAAAAACGGGATCCCACTTTAAGTTTATTAGATCGTGGTTTATGAACCTTCTTGCTATGACCTCGGAGATTATTAGTGCTGGAGAGAGCAAAAAGATAAGACATATTAACACCCAAATCATAATTAAAGATACGAAATGCTAGTATAAGGTCACCTCGTGTCCTACGATACGACAAGGGGAAAAGATTTAGGCGTTTTAAGCGCTCATCGTAAGGGAGTCTAGAAAGACCCTTCACTAATTTCGTTCCCACACGCTGGACACGCTCAATTGAGTTAGTATCCTTTACTAGACACGGGCTATCTGATTGGATACAGTACTCTAAATGTGGTCTAACATATATGGGATATAAAATTCGAAACGTTTCCTCGTCAAAAGATTTGAACGCTCGGCGAAGTGACCATAACGCACGAAAACCTTTGACAGCGGCTGCTTTGCAATGCGCAGTTGTTTTTAAGTCATGACTTAATATTACTCCTAAGTCCTTATGCTCTTGAACGCATGGAAGAGGTTTACCCCCAATAGTGTAACGGTAACTATTACCGTGACCGAAATAGATTCAATTAAAGTGAAAACAGTAGTCTTGATACGTAATAAACGATCAAAACAAACAAATTTACTCAGCGAGGAAAAATACCGCTGTCCTTTTTTAAATAGCGCTTGGACTGCTGCACCTTGAAGGAATGTTAAATTTTTCAAGGTTGAGTAAATGTGTGGCAGGACGGCTTGGTAACATATAGTTTTAGTTTGGATTACATTTAGTGCTTTGGAGCCGAGCACGATATGTGCCAAATGCCAGCTTAATCTTCGTAACAACAAAGAAATAGGGCAACCTAGCTGGCACAATGCTCCTGGTGGTCAAAAGTATTATCCGTCATATAATATATCTCCAGGATCATTCACGTATGTTTGTTCCTCGCTTAACATTCTCAAAGCTAATATGATGAGGTTTGGATTTACTGTGCATATTTTGGATAAATTTATCGCTGTCTTACTCATATATTACAATTCGTATCATTTATTAAAATAGCTTACATTGATATTATATCGCGGATATCTGCACTGTAAGGAGCACACATCCTTCAGAAGCTAATGATAACTTTAGTTAACTGTATGGCGGCATTCAGTGAAGCTCTGTTGGTTTAATGATAGTGATTAGTCCTATGAGGATTCCTATATGTATTCACATCTGATTCTGTACATCATTTTATGTGAGAATTCGGTCAAACTTCCAGCAAATATTGTGAAGTTGTTATAAAGTTCTACACAAGCCTGTGAGAAACTATGCTTAAGTAACATTTTATTCAGGTACATAAAGTATTCGTTTTATCTCTAAAAATTTGTACGCGAATATGTCCCCTAAAAATTCCCGACAAATTTTCCCTGTAAGAATATTTTTCACAGAAATTTTTTTGAAAAGGTCTTTTTTAAAACTTCGGTGATGGTCTATTTTTCTTCCAGGATTATCCATCCACATTAACTTAAGATCTTGTGTATACCGTTATATTTTGATAGTATAACAATTACCAAAAACTATGCAACAATATGAATCTCGTTGTCTTCAACGTAGTGAAAAATACTCCTATTAAAGAGATTAGTAAAAATAATCTGACTGTTATTCTTAACAAACAATGTTGACCCATTAGTTAAGCATAAGCAAGTGTGGAAGTAAATGTTAAGGCTTCCGTATTTGATTCTGTGGTACTCTAAACAGGAAAGCATAAAAATGGTTCAATTAGTTGTGAAGATAGCCGAACATTTTCAAATTTCATGAAAAGTAATAGCTACAATATACAATGACATAGTGCAATAAAAAACTGACATCTGTATTGTTAACATCGTTACGTTTCTGAAAAAAAATGTCTCACATTTATGTGTGGGTAATAGTATGTGTATAACATTAAAAATACACTTTTATACTCACTATGTTTACTTCTGAAATCTCGTCTGTTTAATCTGTCCATCTAGTCGTCGAAAGATATTTCTTTTGTAGAATGTGAAATCTTTTCAAGATTTCTTTCTTTCAAATTCTGACTGGCTAGTGTGGATGTTAGTGTACGTCAAACTTAGCACTTGTTCCTAGAAGTGTGAATTCCACTGCATGTTTGTATTTCGTTATGAAGAATACTACATGTTTTTAAGGTTTTCTGGCATTGTTGTTCATTTTATTCGGTCGTTGTTTCATGAGATTCGAGTTTAGATAATCAGCCACACTGCAGTAGGCTAACATATTTGCAAATTATATTTCCATACTGCCGCATATATTAAAATGACAATGATTTGTATAGCTAAGAAACAGTTTAATAAATTGTTGCTAGTATCAAAGTTGATGTTTGGATTTTTAGAGCTCACCAAACGATAAGTGGTTGGATATAGTTCTCTGCATTTATCATAGTCATCTCCAAGGAAATCATGATATGAAACTATAACCTACCTCAATGTTTTGTCATTTTACACTTAGTTAGACACCAGTTGTCATATGGACCATTGTTCAAATTACTTGCTGTTCGTTAAAAATACAGCTGTTCATTCGTGAACGACTTAATACGGACTACCATCAACGTGTTAGTTTGATGGAGTTTGACTGACAATCATCCTCACACAAAAATACTATTTCATATTTTTAAATTTTATTTAGACCAGTTCTAGTATCAAACCAGTTCACTGATACAAAGGATAAAGGCCATTCACTTCAGGTGATGCGTTGGGGTTTAATACCTGCGTTTATTCATGGGACTCGACTTCCACTTTTCACACATTCAACGCTCGTATCGAATCATTATTAGATAAACGCTCTTACAAGTGTTCATTTCAAGAAGGCAAACGATGTGTAGTTGTGGTTCAAGGGTAAGTTATATCCCATCATGCCTGTCACTAATACTGATTAACTTAAAGTTTAGCTAAAAACGGTAGAACTCTGTAAATACGTATTAATTGGTACAATAGGCTGTAAGATATGCTATCAAGAAGGTTAACTGTGATGTATTCACCCGTAACTTGTTGAATAGTTTGAAACACAGTCAAAACGTCAGTTGTCAATTGTCCGAGCCATCTACCCACCCCTCTATTTTGATAGAAGGTCAAATCGCATAGTCTGAATTAGTCATCACTTGTTTATCAGTTGCATTTACTCAAGATTTTACTTTACGATTAACTGCCTGCCATGCAATAAGGATGTATATAAAATATAAGCATACCTGTGATTAAATTTATAGAGAACGGACCAACGTATTTTCTGCCATGAGAAATTCAGTTTATGGGTTTCAAAACGACAAATGATGATCAGAACCAACGATTCCTCTTTTGATTGGTTGCTACTAGAGAACTAAACAAAAACTTGAAATTCTGTTAGTTTAATATTTTCACATTAAAACTATTAATCAAATCTAATTAGCTTTTACATATCAAAAATAAAGTGATTTATATATAGTGAGATAGAAAACCTAATTAGGCAGTTAGTAGGATGAAATACTGCATTCAGACGATAGCCGGTCAGGTACTTTGTAGTTTCGATAGATTTAAGCTATGGGAGTTGGATCTGTCTGTCATACTTGTAAAACAAGAACCCGTTATCTGGGAAGGTATTTAGTCATAGTCATAATCAATCTGCTTTCAGCCATTACTTCGATATATCTCATTCCTTCACGTTTATTTGATAATTTTTATCTATTTCAATATCACATATAATTTGTTCCTCAATTTTCACAACTGTAATTATTTTCCAAAATGTAGCCACACTACTTTAATTTGTTTATTTACAAGTCAAGATAATCGTTTATTTACCCCAACTGAAAATAGGAAACTGCTCATTGTTAAATTATACTCATACACCTATTTCTTTCGATAAGGAAATATTTAATTGTTATCAAGATACTGGCCCTAAATTACAGACTCCACACTATCTGGTCATTGTATATGTTCACAACTACCTGCTAAGGTGATTAAGCGATTACTCAATTTTTATTGATAACTGAAACCGCAAGTGCTTTTTCTCCTAATCTGATATTTGGTGTGACTCTTGCCCTTTTTCGGTTAGTTGCTTCTACGTTTAGTTCGCCATGTTTTAGTCACTATAAACTAAATTGTACTCCTTCAATTTGTTTTGCCTGAATACCGAGTTTTTCCCATACTTCCCGTATTAATGGCTAATTTTTGAAGTATTGTGTGCCAGCTACCATTATCAGGTCCGCAATAAAACCTTCTGTATTAGGATGGACCAATCATTCAATTCGCAATTATCGTAAACCAACCGGAAATCATTACGCAGTCATTATTATAAAGATTTAAAACATGGTATATTGGCATAATGCTGTCTGACTTCTAGTTATTACAATCTATTTCCTTTGGTAATAAAACTTCTCGTCTAAAAGTCTTTAACTCGGTTCTGTTCTTACACTAAAATTATGGCTCATCGATTTCTTATTGTTGTGTTAACTGAGCATTTCAATCATCTGCCTGTCTAAAGCATCACCTGGATTAAGTGGAGATGAAAAGTAAGTTTTAAGGAAACCACCCTCAAATGCCCTGGTACGACCGAGAGTGGGGAGAGTCCGCTCTCCCTCTCGAAATGCTCTCACACAGCCACGCGTATATAGCCTCTGCCAGGGAAGTCCTACTCACTGCCTTCTCATGGCGGGGGTGTTGTTTACGAAATTGAGAGGACAAAAAGCGAATGTCCGGCGCTTTAACCGGATTCCAAACCAATGGGGCACATGAGCCTCAGTATCCTGCGGGAACAAATGGCGTATGAACCAATCGTTGGTCACCGGCTACCATGGGACTGCATCTCCTCACGATGCCCCACTGTCTTGTGGATCAGACCTTCAGGTCGAAGGCTCGGGGTGGCCCCCTAAGAAAACCACTTGCTCCGGTTTGGGCACCCGGGCAGTATCACAGCCCTCACACATATCGAATGAGATTTGTGTGGCGCATATGTATTTGGTGCCTCCTTGTACCAATATCTATGTGTTAAAATAAATAATTTAAGGAAACAAGTAAATATCTAGTGATAAACCATAAAATTTACAGTAATCTGTGACATCATCTAAGGCTTTTTGACCTCCATTTCAGAGTTTATGAATTTATATTGTATACCTTTCATGAACAATACAGACTAAAACTACTTATAGCTAGTTTTGTTAACCAGAAGTCACTTATTTTCTTTTTCATACTTTAGAAAGGTTTTATTCATAATGAACGTAATTTTATTATTTGTAAATAAAATGTGCTAATGTTATAATAGTTTGTTTTAATCACTTACCTCTATCACATATAAATCCAACTCTTATTACATAGAACTATTAATTCTTTCCAGATTTTATGAATGGAAAGTTGGAATCAAGAAAAAACAACCATTTTATTTTTGTCCTTCAAGTAATCATACTATTATTTTTTAGATTTCTACTTATGCTTGCAGATCCTGACAAATTGCTTATGATGGCAGGTTTGTTCGCTCATAATTATGAGAAACAGGTAATTGCTCGATGTGTTAAACTTGTGTGTGTAGATGTATTCATATACCATAATAACCACAAGTTCAAAGGGCATCATGGCAGATGTGCATTCAAGAATGCCTGTATGTTTCATACTACATCATAATTCTGTAATTTTTTCTGATTAAAGATCATTTTAGATAACGATGATGATATTTATGAATGGCTGGATCCCGCTGAATCCAATTATAAACAAGTATAGTTCAACAAAATTAGGATTTCTATACTTTTTAGTTTTATTTTTTAAATGGATAAAATAATGACCGTTACTTTCATTCTTTTGTGTATATTGTTGTGTAGTGTGTTAAACTAAAGGTTATTTTTTAAGAACTGAAGTTAATTTTATGAAATCAGTTTTATCCTAAAGATTATTGAAACGATTGCTTTTGCCACAATTGAGTTTTAATTTGATGTAGGTGGCTAAAATTTAAGAAGAAACACTAAAACTGATAATCGTAAACCGTCATTAAAACAATACTTAAGTAACGTTGTTTGATCTTCGATTATATAACTTTTAGTCGCTACACAAACTACATTCTGAATCCAGTGTTTTTCTAGAACATTTAACTTCAGAAGCTGAAAACATCCTTCTACAACTATCAGTTTAGAATTTCTTTTAAAACAAATTACTTAATCGCTCAAAAATTTGTCTAAATAACTAAGCTACCGGTAGTAAAAAGAGGGCGGTATTAGGAATTGAAAAACAGAAACCTTTTATTGGTCAGTGCTTTACATTGATGTACTCTCAAACCGTCTAATAATCTCAAGTTCGTTGACATATTGTATAGAACTGAGTTTAAATTAGTCAAAAATGTGAAGTGTTCGGCATTCATTTCCATTGAATCTATGAGTCGTATATACGAAGGAAAAGCGATATAAATGTAACTACCACTTTTGAAGTATTTGAACTCAGGAAATTTCACCACTTGAATATCTTATTCTCATAAGATATACAGTGTAACACTTTATTTATTGCAGTGTTATAACTTTCACTAATTGGAACAAATTATAACATTCTAATCACTCAGTGTTTAATAAAGCTATTACTGTTACAGTTATCACCCAATAGCTTGGTTGGTGGGTATTTGATTAGTTTGCTCTTATTCTTAAACCTTTGGATAGAGTGGAATGTATGATAATTACTAGACCTGTCGGCAAGTTTGTTAGTTCCTATCGACTGAGAAAGTGATATTTTCCTTGTAATCAATTCAGTTTATCATTGATTATGATGACAATCAGCTAGAAAATTTCCGAAAACCAAAGGAATCTAAAAAGCTCTTTGATCCTAGTTTGAAACTCTTCAATAATGCGCGCCTACGTTTTGAACAAATTAATCGAATGAATGGATGATTCAGTACATTCGTTAAATGTCCTAAATATTTATTAGCAAACTGTAACTCATAAATATCTACACAAAATTTTATATGATTGCTAGAGATGACGCAGCTACCCAACGATCCTTAGTTATCAGTCTGTCATCGTAATCATTGTTATTATACTTAGCCAATTCATACATAAAAAGCATATTTGGATTGTCTCATTTGAAGTGAGTCAAGAAGTTTAGTTCTCTTAAACGGCTTTGTGGGTAGATCTTTGATCACGTAATATCAAATTCTGTACTTTAAATATGAAAATAGAATCATGTTTACGGAAAACAATTCAACTACTAACCATGCTATCGAACGCATTCTTTCTTATATTTCCCTATTCTATTGCAAAAATCTATTTTGTGATTAGCTTCCACGTAATGAATAAGTAAACTATAATTTCAGGCATATCAATTTCTCACCGATCTTGCAGACAATCTGGACAATGTGTCTGTCATTAAATATCCCGTTACATCTCAGGTCAACAATTCCACGTATAACGAGCCTAACTGTATCAAACCGATTACTGAAGAAGAAGAACACAAGTGAGTTAAAATATTTTAAAACTATGTATACAGCTGAAAGAGTTCTAGTGCTGTATTACTATTAACTCACTTCACTATTTTTGAATACTTTGTTATCGATTATTCTTGTTGGGACAAGTAATCTTTTTGTTAGTAGCTAACAGATGACCTATTTTGATGATGTCATCTAAGAATCGTCCAAAATATATTAAGTTTCGCGGTTATGAAGGATTTTACTCGTCTCATACGGGAAAAAGCATAAAGGTCACTCTCAACAACATAATTTCGTTACAATTTAATGGTTCCGTATAACGTGCTCCTTCACTATTGACAGTAATCAGCATTATTGATAATGCTTCATGAAGCATACAGCTAAGCTAAGTTAAAAAAACGGCAATCCAAAATAAGATGTTTTTTTGCATGATCTATAAGGTTTAGTTCTGAGGACGGACAGACGTCTGGCACATAGGGCTGTTATCTTTTCAAAATTATACAAACTAGCATACTTGCCTAAATGATCAATTTAAGCATTTCTAAAAATCTGCCATATATAAGCAGTGTGAAATAAATAGAATTTTTACTAAGCACATTTTCGTTCTATTTCACAAAGTCAATAGCTTAGTCAGTCAGCTACAACGTAGGACCAGGCACATATATGCATCGGTCCAGGTTGCCATACTTATTAGCACAGCAAGATGAACACCGGATTCATAGGAGTGGTTAATCCAGTGGTGGTAATATATAGGAGAAAGATTGCAATAAGGATATAGTATAGGAAGAAAGAATTAGTTCGTAGAAAGAAAGATATGAAGTGATTTTCATCTCTTAGTTTAAGGAAGACAGGGAGTGTATACACCGACGCCATTGTGATCGATTCTGAGCCATGTCACCAAGAGTCTCCAACCATTGGTTACGAAAGTCACGCGGACCCCAACCAAGTAGTCTGCATCTACCAACATGGCTCAGACTAGAAGTTAGTGACTTCAAGCACTGATGCCACGTTTTGGTTTGGCCGCCCCTAACTTTCTTCCAACCATCCCCTACACCGGTTAGCATTGCACGTCGTGGTAATCGGTGTTCAGGCATACGTAACACGTGGCCCAACCATCTCAGTCGATGAAGATTCATAACCTCATCAACTGATTTACCATCATTCCCTAATACCCTGCGTCTAACCTCACTATTACTTACCCGGTGATCCCAGCAGATGCCAGCAATATTTCTAAGGCATCTGTGGTCAAATACTAGTAGCTTACGGGTGTCTTCTACTCTTAAGGCCATGTTTCGCTGCCGTAAATTAAAACAGAACGGACTGCCGCGCAGTATACTCGTCCTTTTATTGATAGACGGATATCTCGCCTTCGCCAAAGGTGACGTAAGTTGGCAAAAGCCAAACGAGCTTTTCGAATCCGTGCTGAGATTTCGTCAGACACCAACCCATTAGGGCTGATCAGACTTCCAAGATAAGTTGTCAACGTTCGACTACTTCACTCCCTATCCTTAGTTCAGGTGTTGACGCAGACCAGTCCTGAAGCAACAACTTGCATTTAGAGGGAGAGAAGCGCATCCCAAACATTCTGGCATTGTTGCTTAGTGCTACCAGAAGACTCTGCATTTTGTCAGCGTCTTCACCAAACAGGACTATGTCATCTGCATATTCTAAGTCGATAAGTGGACCTCCTGGAAGGAGATCAATACCCGAGAATTCAGTCGACGAGAGTGTTATTTCCATCAATAGGTCTATGATGAAGTTAAACAAAAATGGAGAAAGTGGGCAGCCTTGACGGACACCACTTGAGGTTGCAAAAGTAGATGACAGTTCGCCATAAGCCCTGACTCGACTAGTAGTGTTCGAGTAAAGAGCCTTCACAAGGTTTATGTACTTCTGAGGTACGCCTTTCAATGACAGACACTGCCACAGAATCTCGCGGTCTACAGAGTCAAATGCTGCTTTTAAGTCAAGAAAGACCACCATCGTCGGACGCCGATAGTATGCCTGTGTTCTAGAACCTGACGAATGGTGAATATGTGGTCGATGCAGCCACGACCAGGTCTAAAGCCAGCTTGGTTCTCTCGTGTAGTTCACGAGTCTTAGTTAGGCGTCTGATAATTATCGAGGCCAGTATTTTAGATACTATATTTGTTAAACTAATCCCTCTGTGGTTGTCACAGGATGATTTTGACCCTTTCTTATATATTGGGACGATAAGTGATTGCGACCAGTCAGATGGGATAACGTCTAACTCCCAGATCTTAGCTAAAATATTAGTCAACCTAATCGCTAAAATTGGACCACCATCCTTAAAGACCTCTGGAGCCAATCCATCTGGACCAGCTGCCCTTCCTCGTTTCAGATTAACTATAGCCTTTTGAACTTCAGCAAGAGTTGGGGGACCTACTTCAATGTTCCATTCACACTGTCTGGGAATGGAGGGTAGTTGTAGAGTAGCTGAAGGCCAGCTGAACTGTTCTCTAAAATGTTCCGCCCATCGTTCTAAACGTCTGGACTGGGAGCAGATGAGAGTATCGTCTTTTTCCGAAATAATCTCACTTACACTTGACTTATTAATTCCAGTTTCTTTTATTAGTCTGTAAAGCTGTCTTGTGTTCCCTATAGTCGCCGCCTTTTCCATCTCTTTTGCTTTCGTTACCCACCACTGCTCACGGTCGTTCCTTAGACTTTTTCTTAACCTAGATCTGATTTGTTGTCGCTCTTCATCATGTTCAGAACCTGATGGGACGAGTTTGCGAGAATCCATCAGTGTGACAGACCTTGAAGAAATCCACTGGTTCCTTGTAACTCTGTGGTTTAAGTCACTAATAGATGTCACTGCTGTTTCCACAGCTGCTTGTATGTCTTTCCAAGCAACATCTGGGTCAGCCTCGTCTTCACAACTACCTAAGTGTGACCTCAGTTGTTCCTGGAACCTACTTTTGGTTTTCTCGTTACTCAACTCAGTTCTAATGGGTCTTTTTAATGTGGCTTTTTTGCGTCCAGTGAGGCGCAAGCAGATGCGTGCCCGTATTAGGGCATGGTCGGAGTCCAAGCAGGTACTCCAGAATGAGCGACAATCTTCTACCGACCCTCTCCAACGATGACTGATGGCAATATGGTCTATTTGAGTCCATCGTTGGTTTGGTGTAGGGGGTCGCCATGTTAGACGATGTCTCTCCTTATGCTTAAAATTTGTGTTTGCTAAAAATAAACGATTGTCTGAGCATAGCTGCAGCAGACGATCACCATTATCTGTTCGCTGTGTCGGAATACTAAAATATCCACCTAAATGCCTTTCTGTTTGGTTTAAACTACCTATCTGAGCATTAAAATCACCTGCTACGAGTACTATGTCTGAGCGTTTAGCTTTCTGAAGAAGTTCGGATAGCTTTCTGTAAAATTCATCTTTCACTTCATCTGAGCTGCAGTCAGTGGGAGCGTAGGCAGAAACGACAAAAAGGCAACGACGTGTGTCCCTATCCTTCCGAGTTCTTACGTAGCCGTTCAGCCGAACAGCACATAGACGACTGTTGACGGGGATCCACTCTAGCAGTGCTTGTTCGGCCCTCATGCTTAGTGCTATGCCTACACCTGCCAGTCCACGAGAACTGGCCATCGGGTCACCAGATACACGAAGGGTGTATCTCGTTGGCTCTCCGTTTGCCGAGGTGAGGTCAAGTGAATGACCACACTGGAATCCTGTATGCGTGTTTCGGAGACACAGCATACATCAATGGAAAGAGACTCTAGGGTTTTAGCCAAGGAAGCCTGCTGACCGATTTGACATAGGGTGCGTACGTTGAAGGCTCCAATGTGTAGTTTGGAGCGAGGTTTCAGTAGACCTGGGACAGTGTTTTGAGCACTAGAATCGTTGGCTATGGTGACACTTGAGGGGGAAGCCGAAAAAAGAAGTTTAGAGTTGAAAGTCGATGTAGGAGGAATAATAGGAATTGAAGAGGAGGTTGATTATGAATACAGTGGTCTTGAGTGCTGTTAGAGGTATGAGGGCGGTTATCACTTCCCGGTTGCCCACACCGTGGAAGGGTTTTCTGGAGGTACCTGAAAAGGAAATTGGATTAGAGGTGGTCTTAGTGACCTGAGAGCGTGACCGCAGTGCCCAAGGGACAACTGCTTGAGGTCGGTCACACACGACCTTTTTATGGGTAATTTTTGTGTTAGCTCCGTACTTATTGAGACCTTACCGCCGGAGACGGATATCCGTGGGATAAGGCGAGGTGTGCATTTTTAGGGTCGACCTTTTCTAACCCACCCCTCCTTGTGGGAAGGCAGCATCGCTGTCATGCTGGTTGTCTGAAGGAAACACCTTACTGCTGTCACACCTCTGTACAGTCAGCAGTACGACTTCGCCTTCGGACCTTGGGTTTAACTTAGAGCTCTTTTGAAGTTGGTCTATGGTTGTAAATAGAAGAAAGGCAGTTGATTCTTGAGTAAGTAAACAGAAGTATTATTGTAATATTCAAACTATTGTTATTATTCTTGTTGCAGTCAACATTAATTATTCAATTTTTCAAAAAAGTAATTCTTTTTCTATTTCGTTGAGCTAATTCTGATAGTTTTCCCTATCAGAAATAACCACCGACTGCCCCGACGTGCGATATTTTATGGTGTGGGTGTAGGTTGGAAGAAAGCCAGGGGCGGCCAGACTAAAACATGGCACAAATTCATGAAGTCACTGACAAGTGGGCTGAGCCACGTTGGTAGGTGTAGTCTACCTGGTTGGAATCCGCTAGATGACAGCAACCGATGGATAGACCCTGAATGGCACGGCTCAAAATCGTTTGCAATGGCGCAGGTGTACCCACTCTTTGCGTTCTCCCGAATTTTAGTCTTCCGAGTTCTTCACGTCCCTTTTTTCTTTTTCCAAATTTCATTGGATTATACTCCTTGAATAATATCTTCAAACCCTAATTTTCTCGATTACTGCTTATACTCTTACTACCTCTACCACTACGGGATTCGAATCGACAATTGTATCTCTGTGCCAATGTAGTGTGGCAACTCGAACTGATGTACGTGCGTACGAAGTTCTACGTTGTTACTGACTGACTGATCAGAAATAAAACAACAAAGTGAATTCAGTGTGATTTTTTCTTTTATTTTCCACTTCTTATTTTACAGGAAAATGACTAAATCTTATGGTAGCTCAAATATAATGATGCAATTTCTTAAGCGTTCAAATAAAGATAGTACTTGTGACCAAACAAATCCTGGCAACAATTCTAGTTATGATGTTTCACACAAGAATATTGATGCAATAAAAAAGAGGAAGCAAATCAATAGAATATACATATACATTTATATTTCCTTTATTTTTAATCAAAAGAAAATTTTCATTACTAAGCATTTATTAAATCTCAGATTAAAATTTTGGCACATAATATAAATAATCTTGTTTTCGAAAAGAAAAGTTATTTTAAAAGAAAAAAGCTTATAGATGAATATATTATTAGTCCGATACAAAAGTTTTTAACAGGAGGAAAAAAATGAAAGCAATTTGGATTCAAAGTAAAAAAAGGCACAGAATATCTATTTGTACTATTGTTTCTCTTTATCATTCAGTTCATTTGTTGGAGTTGGTGGATCAGTAAATTCATCGTCATCATCACTGCCATTATTATTGTTTACAAGTTCAGTTATTTCATTGTTTTGCGTCGCCGACATCGCACTGCGAGCATTACATATGTGGCGCTTTAATTGACGACCAATAGTTGAACGTAAATTTGATGGTCCCAAGCGACTAGTATTATCTCTTACCTAATGACGTAAAAATCAAGAAAGAATTGCAGATAATTGACAATTCTATAATTTGTTGTTGTGTAACTAGTATAAAATTGTTTCAACAGACTTGATTAGTATAGGATAAAGCTATGAAACTTACAAAAAAAGATCAAGCACACAGTCGAAATAATCGATTGATTATAATTCTGTCATTGACTGAATAAAAGTTGTGAACAGATAGAATGTTTTAAAGCCTAAAAAGAATCGACCTGTGATAAGTAGACCCAACTTTATTGAGAGTCTTGGTTGACTAAATACTAACACATAGGTACTGTAGACAAAAAAGTTACTCTTTGATATGTAATCAGTCAGAAAACAGATCTTATCTGCGATGTATTTTGGGATCATGTGTCCCTAAAAAATAAGAATAATTGATAATTTTTCTACAATTTGGCGACTGACAACAGATTATAATTTATTACATGAATCTAGGAACTTGTCCATGAATATCAGTACAATGTACACCTAATCACTAATCCAGCATACCACAGTTTTGAAGATTTGCTACTAGTAGGCGTACATATGCTTTACCTTCATAAAGGCAGCAGTTACATCAAATACAGTTAACGAATTTATGGAAGCAGGCTAAAGGATTCGTACAACCGAGAAGTTAAATGATAGTGGATTAAGGTATATATATCATGTTACCTCAGAATAGAAAACCAACATATCAGCCTAGACTACCTGTATCACTTACGACATTTGCATAGCGGCATCTCGTCTACTGGTTAGTGTAGTTGTAATTAACCTACAGGCTCGCACATAATACTTCGAGCTACACCATATATTCTGTAAGGACTAGTAAATATTATTTAGTTGCGTAAGCCTTTTTGAGAAAACGATTACGACCTGCTTGCTTGACATTCGAACGCTTAAACCAGCAAACCATCGTTCAGCATTCATAAAATCTTGCTCCTTTATCGACGTCGAAATTTTGATATACGTAATTTGTCCTTAATCCTTCCGTAAAATTACAGTTACGTTTTGTCAAGGGACACTGAAAACGAAAATTTAGTTTTTATTTTAGAAAATAAATTTCCTTGGTATGGATGCACCTCCCGTATACAATCTCAAAAGATAAATGTTGGAGATGAAAGTGACTGAAAAATACGAACACGCTAAGTGTTATGACATAACACAACTGATTATCCTCTTATTCTTTTCACGTTTCAAAAAGATTTATCTCAACAGTCGAGTCGTTATCTGGAAATTGCGTAGATTGCTAGGATGCAACTACGGATTTGTAATTGCTTATCCACCTTCAAAATGAGTCAGTCAGTCAGTTACAATTTAGGGCCAGGGACATACATGCATCGGTCCAAGTTACCTTCAAAATGAATAGAAAAATGTTTGAATAAGAAAGTTAGAGTTCCATGTTAAAATGTTTACTAAGTGAAAATAATAACACAGCTTACATTTGGTTCCGATGATTTAGTACTCTCAGGATTACATGGATTATAATAAAATGAAGCTCTTTTACGCCTCTGACGAATATGTGTGTATACATTTTGGATGAGTTTTACATCATCATACCGAAAATTTGAATCGAAAATTCTTTTTGGATCATCAAATTTTAGCTTGACTGTAGGAATTCTGGAACCCGTATTTACGAATTTCAAGTCTACTAATGGAAAGCACATTATTTTATTGACCACTCCAGATGGTAGGGTTTTGTACATTCTATGCCTATCTCTTGAAGAATCACGTTTCCCGCTACGAACTGAACCTAGGCCTTGCGAAAGAGATGATTGTCGACGCGATTCTTCTGTACAGTTTTGATTACTTTGACTCCATGGAAAATGAGAATTAATTGGTGTAGGAGGTAGAGCATTAAGATTATTCACTAACCCACAATCACTACTACACTCATTATTACTATTATCTTCGTTTGAAACAGGATCAGATGGCAATCGGTTTGTTTCTGGTTGGCTCACCAACAAATATAAATCTGCAAGTGAAGAAGTTAATTAAATGGACTCAGTGTTCTTCATAGAAATCAAATCAAAAATTACTTATGTTGAAAATACCAGTTGTATTTATTATCAAGTGCATCAAACTTGTTATACATTATCTCCAAAGATTTCAATCGTAACTTTAAGAAAAATGATAATGTAATCCGAAAATGTAATTTATAAATACCAAAATGTCGTAGTGTCCTTAGACCTGAAACACTTGTCAATTAAAGGCGTCTATAAACCTGTAAATTAACACAGCTAGCATTCATAAAACTATTCTTTGCAAGCTGTTGATAAATCTATCAACAGATTTGGAACGAAAATTCACTAAATACCTGTTGCGTATACAACTTTGTAAACGTTTGGATGGACATAAAATCGAACTAACTTAAAACTTAACTTGTTCTCAGATTTATCAAAACTAATGTAATTTGAACTGTCATATACATCAAATTCAAATACCATATAATTATTGTCTGTTCACACTCATAGTTCCTTTGGAACCCACTAGAATTTTCCATCATTGGTTGTTTTGATGAAAAAATAACCCAGTTATTCACCAAGATCTGAGATAATGTGTAAAAAAATACCGTGTTACATAGAAAAGCTGGTGTTCATAGCATTTTAGAAGGAACATTCTTGCGTATGTTAGGCATAACAAGCTAAGTATGTAATTGGAAATTCTTCCTACGTAACAGGAATGCGTATTTTCTAGGTTTCTTCTCAAGATTCTGGTCAAAACGCAAACGAATATATATATTTTTCAATAAACACATAGAAACCTGACGAAGCAAAACAGCGAACTATCACTTACAATTATTACAATTTTGCAATAGGACGCGCAAAGGATTCGGAAGGTATTCTAAACACAACAGCAAGTAAAAAAAAACCAAATATTCGATTCTGCAGCACATCACTGAGCAATACACGCAACAGTTAAATGTAAATTAATGCAACTCAATATGATAGTACAATTTTATGCGCTTATCAATAAGTTAATGAGGGCTAGAAATTTATACAGGCTCCTCAAACCAAAGTAAAATATATAAAACATTATCACATTTAACAGTTTATGAGCTTAAACCACTACTGAACCACAGCTTTGTAAAAAAAACACCAGTAGTGTCATACCAAGTGCAAACATGCAAAATACATGCGTTAAAAATTGACATGTATAAAACAGACCACTGGAAACAAGCGCTTAACTTATTTAAGCAACCAGGAAACGTTGGACAGCTGTATCGTCCTAATGTGGGACTTTTCAGCAGCGCGTATCCACGACCCCATCACAGATCGAATCCAAGACCTTCAGGCCTCGCATAGAAAACCTAACTTTTAAACTGATGGGCGGGGATCTAATGGTCGACGGGTTTAACTCCAGCCAGCTCGCGATATTGTCGTTTTCAGTGGATAACTGAATCATACTTGAAACGGTTGGACTGCAGCTTCTCACTGGAGAACCGAGAATTTCTTCTCGAAGTTAGTTATTAATGAACACATGTTAGTTATAAGTATGAGGGTTTGTGGAGGTTGTTGGACTGATTGAAGTTAGGCACCCACTAGGACGAAATAGATATCCATTGCTTCCCGGGTTTTCAATGGCTGTGTAATTATGATCGCTTCGTAATTTCAATAACGTTCAACAATCTCTAGAAGTTTCAACAGTAATCATTTATTTTTACCATTTGCTAGTATTTTCGCATGATACAACTACGTACAGTGTGTGCCATCATTCTATTCTTAGATTATGCCTCTTATTGTATTAATGACGCTCTAATCTCTCATAATACGAGACTATATGTGTACATTTTATTTACAGTAATAGTTCCATGGTTGCAAGCAAATCTTAAGCTATGCATTTTTACGTGTAACTCGGTCATTGGGTTAAAGTTGTTGCATATATGTTTTGCGAATGATGATACTATAAACAGTTTAATATTTACGTGATATACAAAAGTTTCGCACAGATAACATAATATTTTACAACATCAAAAATGTGTAGGTATTGCTTCGGTCCAGGCACCCGGGCAGTATCACAGCCCTCACACATATCGAATGAGATTTGTGTGGCGCATATGTATTTGGTACCTCCTTGTACCAATGTCTATGTGTTAAAATAAATAAGGTATTGTGAATGATAAGTTTTTTTACTGTTTGTCGCCAGGACAAATTAAACACTATTGAGCGATAGTAAAGCAAGTTCTGAATACAACAAGCAACAAGTATCCTTCATGCATACATGCTTCGCAATGCGTCTCCATCAACTTACAAAATTTGAATCGCATTTGTTAACATTCTAGTAGCATAAAAAACATTAGTCATTAAAAAGTAAATATATGTATAGTACCATTATAAACTATATTGGGATAAATTGCTAAATTTAGATTCATGACTCCAGGTCAATGAGGTAGGACACCTATCCGTGGAATTCCTTATCGATGTTCAATATCTAACATTTTTATGCTCATTCAGTGTCTGAATGCAGAATACAAGAACACAATTTTCACTAAGGATTTCATATAAATCCTAACTTTCACTTCACTTGACTTCTTCATCCGGAAGAAGACACATGTAAATAGCTTTAGATCGTTAACACGAATTCCCCAGTAAAAATAACAGTTATAAGCAGCATTTATACATTAAATGAACGGAAAAATGGCGGATGTTACTCATTTTCTTAACACTGTAAAGATGGTGTTTATCCTCACGCCAGCTCTATAATAGCACAATTTTGTAGTGAATAGTTGGAATAACAAACCAGAAGGGAAGAAGAACCTATATATAACATCATAGGAATAGTCAGTATTTGACTATCCATGGTATAATACTAGATGTTTTATGGTGTATATTGAGACAAAGAATGGTCTTAGTATCAAATATAAATATCAAATAACATACTATTTGAAAATGTGATCTATACCACATGAAATAATTATCCACAGACTGTTGTTTTTCAGATTGTGACTGACAGTTTCAAATTCAGGTAATAACTTATTATCAGTCAAGCCCAATCTATGAATGGATAATACCGTCTTGATACGGAATGATGGTCTCCAAACAAAAAGAATATAAATCTCACAAAGTTTATTGATAGTTTTATGCCTCATAACAGAAAATAAACAGATCATTTCATTGTGCCTGCTGACCATTCTTTAATAGCTCCTTAGAAATTTATTGTCATACTCGCGGATACTAACAAGAAATTAGTTGAATTTTGAGAACAATGAGACAACTGTCAAATTCTCCTACGCAGAGTTTTGGTGAGTAAGTTACAGAGATAGCTGTCAATTCTGTTTATGTACATTAGCTTACCATAATAGATGATTAAATCAATATTGATTTGGAAGCACGCATCAAATGTTACAACAATGAATATAAGCAAGTCAAAACGAAACAAACCAAATCTATAGGCTAAGGGTAATTGTGAGTAACAATCTTGCAACGACAAAAGGATGAACACTCACTTGCTAATGCCTCCTTTTCTTTGGGCAGATAAGCGCTTGGTAACCGTCCACAAAAATCTCGTATATCAGTTCTAGCTTCTATATAAAAGCAGATAAATAATACATGATCAAATTGAAACTGTGATTCGCTAATTATTCTTATTTATTATAGGTAAATGTTTGGTACAATAGAACACCTGGAAGTGATTCACATAAGGCGGAATGACAATTTTATATTGAGTTTAAAACAAAAGGAAATACTACACTATTTATAGTAATAAGCAATGAATTGAAAACAAACAAATAACTAACATAAACGTAATTGTTTTCTCCATTACCATATTAAATTCATTATTCTTGAATCAATGATGGATAAAGTATTCATTTGAAACGTATTTATAAGAACAGTGTCAAGATACATTTAAAAAGATGGTAGCAATTACTTTAATAAGATGACAATTTTTGTTACAGACTTTTATTCGTCAATTCAGCTCAATTACTAATCCATACTTCCCAATCCCTGACCCATCAACTGCACAAGGTGAGAAGAATAAGAGTGTGTAGGTAGCTGCATCACTAAAAGCCCACTGAATACGCACAAATATAAATTGTTGGACTAATTCAGATATGGCAATATGGGTATAAACATTAAATAAGGCTACTTGATCACAGTACTTTCATTCACACTTGGATTTCGATATACCATGTAGTCTCGCAACAACATGTGATCTGTCTAGGATTGCCCACCATCAAACTGATATCAGATGGAGAACTAATGAAAATCAAGATGTAATGAACAGTTGTTCTCCAACAGTTCCGTTATAGTTTGGAACTTAACAGCACATGATATGTCTATAGCCATCCACACTATCACACCACATTGAGTAAATATATACAGACTAGTGTAGTTCTTAAAATAATTTCAAATCATAGCTTTCATTACTACAGTGAAAATCAATTCTTGATAATAAGGTCAGAAAAAAAAGAGCATTAGACTAAAAATAGTAATTCGGAGAAGTTGTTCCAAACGGTTTATAAATAATTACTGAAAATGATAGCGGCAAATGAACAGACGCACTTACTGTACACGGAAGTTAATAAGAATATAACATCTTCATTCCCGTTGGCAGCGGCCAAATGTAAAGGAGTCATACCCTACAATAAATTATATATATTATTCATTGACAGAGATATATACATAAATCGATCGGATTTATTGATAAGATTTACTAAGTATATAACTGAGGAACTACAACATAGAACATATTATAAACTGTTTTGCATTTGAAAGACTAATTAGCAAATACATAAATAGCACTAACTGTTTATAACTACTTACCTCCTGTGGAAATGAAAGCAGTAACATAGAAAGAGAAATGAAAACAGAAAAATACAATTAAGATATTTTATTTAAAAAAACAACAACATATGAGTTCGGATATTTTGTTTAGTTATTATAGTTGCGTTAATAAAAGTTGGGTAATTTAGACATCACTCTTGAATACTTGACCGGAGAGGCGTGACATTATCCGTATCGGGGCCATGATAGTTTCATATACACAACCTTCTGTTAGATCATCAGAGTACAATAGAATTCGTTTGACTTGTAGTTTGGACATTTTTATTTGAGTTCTTTCGGATATAAGTGATTTTTTTAAGAACCAACATGAACTGGAGTAAACTATTGAGATTCAGGTAACCGTGAATGGCTATTTCGACATGCACATATCATTACATAATCAATGTTAACCTATGCTACTTTTAGTCTGGGTACTGAACACTTCCAGTAGTTTAAATCTAATGTACATGACTGATGTAGTTTTAATACTGAATGTCATTAACTTCCAGAAAGAGAAGTGGAACAATAAAACTTTCGTATTTCAATCTTTGTGTAAGGATATTTATTGACGCAGAATACTCTCATATCAACAATTCTACAACAATACTAAAGTATTTAAATATTATGCACACAAAGAAAAAATATGTTGACAATTTACTTTAAAATCTTTTATTCAATTAGCTTTTCTAATTATTTACCATAATTTACTCTTAGATAATGCATTACTTTTTGGGTGAGTGTACATACTTTACATTTTATATAGGACAAACGAAACCGAAAAAATGTTGCCGTGTAATAATTATTAGTTAAACAGAGTCATCATTAACATGGAATTATATAAGTTGCTATACTATATTAGCACTACGAGATGAAAAATAACATGATAATCTGCAGAGGATATAGGAATAATGTAATAGCAACGACAATAAGAAAGGTTAAACAATAGGAAAAGCGATACGATGCCGGCAAATAAATAAGGTCCGGATTGATTGGAGAACACATGACCTACAAGCTATTTTCCTCCAACCACCCATAGCATTTTATTGTGTTCACTTTGTGCTCACATTTCGCATACAAGAATGTTATTTTATTACATGAAAAAAATCATCTGGTTAATGGTATTGTCTTCGATTTCTAACTACTTAGGGGTCCAAGTCAATTTTGGTTTTATTAGTACCCATCACTGGATTACATTATACCATTGTGTCTAACTAATGATTATCATTCTACTCATCAATTTTGACAATTGAGAATTTCCTCACTAAAAGCTATCTTCATAGCAAAAAGACAGAGTGGAAAGGTATGTATGGAGCAATACTGGAGTACAAAATCGAAAAGAAGATATGGAGTGAACGAATCTGGACCATTGTGAACTGACCGAGTTTATCACACAGACCTCAACCAGGTTCTCACATCTTAAACATGTCACAGCCATATCAGCTGACGTAGCTTTGCAATCTCACCAACCGATTTGCCTATCTTGCCTGGTACCATATACCCAACTTGAATATTTCTAAATCGTTCGTTCCACAGAAAGTGGGCAATGTTTCAAAGATGCTGTAGCCTAATTTGTCTTCTACTTTCACAAACCATGTTTCGCAACAGTAAAGAAAACATACAAGACTGCTGCTCAGTATACACGTCTATAGGTTTGCAGACGGAAATCGCGTCTACGCCAAAGTGACTCAAGTAGGCAAATGCCAACTGAGCTTTCTCAATTGGTGGGAAGAATTCGTCAGATGTTGGCCTTTACTAGATAAGTAAAGTAGTCAATTTATTCAACTACTTCACTCTCTATCACTAGTTCGGGTGTTGACACAGACCAATTTTGAAGCAAAATTTCGCATTTATGGGGAGAGAAACTCATCCCAAACATGCTTGTATTATCGCTCTTGTAAATGAAAAGACTATATTTTGTCAGCGTCTTTACCTAATAGGACTATATCATCTGCATTTTATAAGTCATAATAGGATGAACCGTATACACGTAATACATAAAACTTACACATGTCTGAGCATCAACTTGAACATGGTAATTTCCAAGTAACAATCGGATAGCAGCACAATCTCCATATTTAGCTGCATAATGTAGTGCAGTCTGAAGATCGGAAAAAATGCAAACATGACTCACTCATTAAAAGGTAAAAATAGTTCCTCAAAAGTAAATTAAACATGGTTAATAAAATATATTTGAATATTTTACCGAATTGGGTTAGTGTATTAATTGCTACTGAAATGATCGTTAGTAAAGTTTCAGTAGATATACAGAAGATCCAGCTAACATATAACAACGACTAAGGCTTGTTGTACCGGTCAGATGCCTACCTAACAATTGAGTCCCGTGCATGCGGTTTAGGTGCAATATTCTTAATTTATGACTACTAGGTATCAATAATAAAGACACCAGACATAAGATGACTTCGGATATTTAATAAAAGATGCTTCTGAAATATCCCTTGTGTATAGTTAAAAAGCATATCTATTCACAAGGTTGTAAACAAGCATCGACAAAAACCTAACGCGTTAGTAGGTACCATACAACTATAGTTGACTTTTACATAGTAAAAGTAGCCTGATATTCGATAAACAGACAAATTTCGATAGAACAATGAGAAGACGGAGTTGATCTGAAAATGTGATGTATTAGCGCTATACATTTCGAACAATCTGGTCACACATATACTTGTCAGGGCATTTTTATATGAAAATTAATAAAGGTCAAACAAATAAAAGTACAATTAAAATAACTAAGGGGAGAGAAAGAATAAGAAATTGTCGCGTTATCCTAGGCCATAGAATGACTTAAGGATTACCAAGGTAAATTGTTGTTGTACACATAAGGGGGGTTTAAATTTACGAATAGCCAAGGCTTCAATAAACTTAAGAATTCGACTTTGACAATTTCTATACAACATTCTAAATGCTGTATTAATGTTACTTTTGTGCCCCGTCTTAATTATATGTTTTGCTATCGATGAGCTTGGTTTTCTACCTCCTACATTGATCGGATCATTCGACATACATTGATTTTGAAGCCATCTAGGCACATGTTCATTGACCCTTGATTCCATTGTTCGATTACTCCTCCACCCAAACATGTAAATTAGTAAATACAATGGGATGTGACGTAATCATTAGTGCATTGTTTGGGTCTATTAAGAATCATGACCTTAGACTTTTCAATCACTACCTCTAATTTATTCAGTGCCAAAGAAAAAAGTTATATCAATCTAACATATAGAGGCGAATCTAACAGTATAGTCTTAAGGCAGAGATTGAAAGCAGCTATCGAGAATACGTATTTTGCTGCTTAGTTGGTAGTGATTTTATTATTATTATTATTATTATTATTATTATTATTATTATTATTATTATTATTATTATTATTATTATTATTATTAGAAGCTTTATTCAACATTATATTTTTGGTACAACATAGAATTCTCAGCATAAAGTATTTCAACAAGTTTCCTTTTCTTATACCTTGATCGATTGTGACGATAAATTTTGAATGATGACCAGTTAGATGTTAGAAGTTCGGTAATCCACATTTGATTACTGTTCATTTGTTTCAATGCATATTGCCAGCAACTATGATGTCGCTGATTGTATCTTTTTGTATCCCGTATAGCGAAAGGTTGTAAACTTTTACTTCAGTAATCTTATCAAAGATTAGGTGAATTGAATAGCTAACTACTACGATAAAATAGTAACTTGAAAGAATGTAAACTTCTCAAATCTGATGTGAAAACTTATATACAATAGCGTAAATTGATTCGTAAATAAAAGCACGCACAAATAAATACTCCTACAACACTGCTAAATAACCAGTACATAACACTATAATATACATCATCAAGGAACATATATGAATATAAATACTTACATACTGTTTTTCAATTGAATTTTTCATATTCGCCATAGATTAAAAATAGTATTCAAAGATAAGAGGAAAAGTGAATTTGTTATGAGTGAGAATAAAAAAAATGGAATGTTGTACGATTACTATAAGACATGATGAGATTAATTAGTTCTTAATATCACATGATAACATATAGGAACTAAAACAGCTTTTATTGTTATAACATTTTGTATGCAACAGGAAATGTATCTATTTCTAGGATTAACAAGTAATCAAAATTTAGATAAAGAGGTAATATGTTGAAAAACTATTGTACTATTGTCATCATAGGAAAAGATATGAACATCTCAATAAATACTCATTCAATGAGTAGTGTTAAAATAAAGAAACTATGTCAATGTATTCACCAATTCTGATTATGTAACTTTAGAAGTAGTTAATTAAAAGATAAATTCTGATCGAATATAATTCACTAACCGAGTACAGACCAAAGTACTTGGTTCCCCAAAACACACATATTACGTAAAGCGTTAGTAATATTATTTGTTATATCGAAGCATGATATATATATATATATATATATATATATATATATATATATATATATATATATATATATATATATACTTTTAGGGGATTTCAATAAATTGGGAGCTTATTGATTTTCATGATTTCTACTTGAAAAAGTAAACTATAAAATGAATGTTATTCAAGTCATAATTGACGTAGAGCCTGGCACAAACGTACATTGATCTAAGTTAACAAACCACACAACTACGACTACAGAAAATTAAGGAGACGAATATCAAATAATTTGTGATAATGTCCTAGGAATGATAGCGAGGAGTTCATAGAGGCTCTCAGAAGTAGTAACAGTATCAGTAATTGTAGAAAAGAGTGGATATAGAAAATACGATCCCGGAAAAAGAATACAAACCCGTGGGATAAAAAGGTATAAGACAGTTTCGGAACTCATGATCTAAGTGGCAACAACAACTGAATGCATCCACGCCATCTCGATTGATATTGAGGCATAACAACCATGGTTACGATAAGCGCGAACCCTAACCACATAATCTGGACGTATTAACATGACTCAAACCAGTAGTCATTAAATTCAACCTAAATTTACCGCCCCAGCTTCTAATCTAAATTCACACCAGCCAACAATGCATATTATGGCAGGTGGTGGTAGATGATAGATAATACATTTTTTAACTAAATCAGTTGATGGGGATTTACAATCTCATCAATTAAATTGTTATCTTTCCCAAGTACCCTAGGCCTAACCTCAGAAGTGTTCACTTGGTCATTCTAAGATACGCTAGTAATATAAATCAAAGAAACTTATGATTAGAAATATTGAAAGTATTTTTATTCAAGTGAACCTTGAATGTGTTACAGTATTACTATAAGCGAAATTATTCCACAGAAAATTAGGGACATATACAACTTTATGTAAAAAAAAAAAGTGTATCGGATTGGGAATTATTTGCTTTCTGAAGAGGTAGCTTACAAAAAATCGTAAAAAGTCAAAAATAATTTTCAGGCTGTTTCATAAATACATATCAGTTACGATATCGAAAGAACTGTAATCTTAGTAACGCCTATTTCAAATACTTCTTTTATTTCTAACTATTGGGCACAATTCCAGTTTTAACTAAATGTATTCAGTTAACTATAAAAGTTTTAATCATGTACTAGAACTAAAAAAAATAAATTTTTGTATTTCATCTTAACTAATAAGTTTTATACAAAATACTTTTTTACTTACTCCATTGATACTAGTCTAAAAAAACAAACAAAAACAATTGACAATCGAATAGAATCGAAATACACCAACATTGTATGCATGATCATATGAGACCACAAGAAAGTTGTACACAATCAGACACATAAAGTATAAATAATTATTAAACAGCTAGAAAATTAATATATTACAACCCAACCAGTTGGTTGTATATGTTTCATGACAAACAGATAATTAAATGGTGATGGTATGCCAACTGAAATTACGAGAATATAGTAATTTCAAACAAATTATAACACAATAAAAGTATATTCTCATATTTACCGCCTATTCACACACACAAACACACTTGAACAGATACCAGCACAGTAAAATAACGTGTTGAAGTATGTTGTAATAATTGTATAAGAATTAAAGCCATTAATCGGATAATAGTGATGAGATCTTCCATACTAACATTCAAGAAGCATTATCATAAAATTTTTATGCAACCTTGAACTGGTGTTTTTTCCTGCTAAATCTCGTGTAGAAGTAAATAAATCCCCAAAATAAATAGCTCTGTAAGTCTTCGACATTGGATGCTGATCACATTAGTTTCAATGGACTCACCTAGCTAAAGGCGCTTGGTCATGCATCCGCACCAGATCACGAGTGGGAACGCCGTGCTCAACAACCCCTGCAACCGCTAGCCAGATTAGATCAGACGATCCTCGATATATTGATGGCCCATCAAATATACCTTAGAAACTCCTCGCTTCTGTCTTTTGATTTCACTTGGTGGGTACGATTCATGTTAGAAGGTGTTACTGGTTAAAGCGTTGTCAAACTCCGAATACCTGTGGCATCTTTGGTGAGCCCGACGTGGTCTGGTACGCCAAATTGCAAACTGTGAGTCTGTTCCTTTTTGGGATTTTATATATCATTGCCTTACTCTAATTTTTTATACATTGTGATATTTGTTTCGTGTTTTTGGATACATATATTTTTTCACTCGTTCATTCTCGTACAACACCTTAGACAAGCTGGCTGCATCTGCCAACTGCATCTTAGAAATTACCAAATCTTCTAATACTGAAGTTTTGTACTCAAAGAAAAGCCTCAAACGACCCAGAATGACATTACAGAGTTATGTCATACACTTACGCGTTATCTTAAATTTCGTAACGACTGTAAGCGATCACACACCCCACGTAGAAGCACTTCACGTAAGCGATCTGTCTCCAGACCACGAGAGACGGATAACCCAGACTGGTGCTAGTATCATAACCATTATGGAAAGTTCTCCAGAAATTGCAGGAAACCCTGCAATTTTCCCAACTCAAAACCGACCGACACGAAGAACAACTCGGAAAACTCCCAAGCCGGCACGCGTTAACGGCAACCGCAGCCGGCGAACATAGCCGTCTGTTACACGTCACAAATACGACGACGAGAGTTCGCTACCTCGTCGATACTAGCGCAGAAGTTAGCGTTCTTCCTGCAAATTTTATCGACCGGCCTCACGAATCGGTTTTAAATCTTTAGCAGAACAAGGCTTCGATGTTGTCTGGTCAGAAGGGCATTAATTGGAACGAAGATGGGGACTTAGTCCTTAGCTTAAGTACTTTGGGTGTCTGTTCAGTCATAGTGAAATATCAAGTACGAGAATGAACGAGTGAAAAAATATATGTATCCAAAAACACGAAACAAATATCACAATGTATAAAAAATTAGAGTAAGGCAATGATATATAAAATCCCAAAAAGGAACAGACTCACAGTTTGCAATTTGGCGTACCAGACCACGTCGGGCTCACCAAAGATGCCACAGGTATTCGGAGTTTGACAACGCTTTAACCAGTAACACCTTCTAACATGAATCGTACCCACCAAGTGAAATCAAAAGACAGAAGCGAGGAGTTTCTAAGGTATATTTGATGGGCCATCAATATATCGAGGATCGTCTGATCTAATCTGGCTAGCGGTTGCAGGGGTTGTTGAGCACGGCGTTCCCACTCGTGATCTGGTGCGGATGCATGACCAAGCGCCTTCAGCTAGGTGAGTCCATTGAAACTTATATATATATATATATATATATATATATATATATATATTTTCACTGTATAATTACTCAGCAACCAGGCCTGATATATTTATACCTCTTTTATCACATGCTTTTTTTAACCTAGTAACTGCTATTATACGATTTACCACTACTAATTTATTCCCAATCTACTACTTACAATCTCTGCTACTCACAGCCACTGTGGCTTGATCTTGTGTAATTGTTATTTTCCACTTTTTGGTTTGATGTGGTCTGGTCTGCTTGTAAATAAACTACGTATGTCTAAAATATAATATTCGTATAGCAGAGGCAGATTCATTCATTCATTCATTTGGTCACGTAAATATTAGTACAAAGGGGCATCGAATGCATGTGCGCTACACAAGTCACTTGTGTGTGGGCCGTGATACCACCCGGACGCCCAAACCGAAGTGAGGGGACCACACCCGGAGCCTCTAACCTAAAGGTCTGATCCACAAGGCAATGGAGCAACGCTAGAAAATGAAGTCCTATAGTAGCCGGTGACCAATAATTGGTTCATAGACCATTTGTTCCCTGAGGATACTGGAGCCTATGTGAACCATTGGTTTGGAATCAGGGTTTTCCAACTCCCCTAGGTGGATCTTTCATATCCACCAACCCGGCTGATCATTGTATTGTGGGCTCAACGGGCAGGGGGAGGTGATAAGCTACTGTATCGAGGACGAATAAGGATCCGGGTCGATTTAGCTTACAGACAAATTTGTAAGGGTCAGTATTTTAATTGGTCGTTTTATCAAGTGATATTAGACAGGGCCATAAGTTGTAACGTGATAGATCTTGGAAAATGTCTCACATGACTAACAGCCACTTTAATATAGACCTTCCCGTAAACATGAAGAACTCGCACAGCACATTCAATTTATAATTAGTTTAGATCATTGTTGTGCAATAAGATTACTTTTCTTAGTTCTATATGACAACGCAACTTTCTGAGGCTCTAAGTGCAAAGTGAGTCCAAATCTTATATAAAATTAATATGGGTTGGTATATTGATACAATATTGATCAGTATTTTATTAATACCAATTTGAAATGCACTTGAAAACAGCTATTAAAAATTATATACGGCTTCGTTTGAGTCTAATAATTACGGAGAAAAACAACTTTAATTAAACATTAAGCTAAGCATTATTCTGGTTCATACATTTAGGAATATGAATTTGAACCGTAAGTGGTGTTCGTAATAGGAGAATTCTAAGAACACAACGACATAATTGTACAGCACATATTCACCGTTAGCTGTTACAAAATATAAATAAAGTAAATGAAAATTACCTTCCATACAGCTAATTCAGGGTGTTGATTAAGCATTCTTGTCATTTTCGGTTGATCACAGTCAACGATAGCTAACAACCAATCTTTCTGTTCTTGAGTCATCTGTTGATTAGATTCAAAGTAAAAAAGTGGAAAGTATTGGTTATAAAAATATTTAACTGAAATGATAAAAAGTATGTAACTACGTGATACAATGGTAATTTGCCGTTTTCTTAATTTAATAACGGTTACATAATATTGTGCATACGTTAACGAGCCAGTGAATGGAATATAGGGAAATAGCTGTTCAGATACAATTAAGCTTCACTTGAACAGTTAAAGCAAGTTAACCAAACCTTAAGTTGAAGAAACGTTTTATGGAACAAACGAGACAGCCCCCCTGAATGCCCTGGTACGGCCGAGAGTGGGGAGAGTCCGCTCTCCCTCTCGAAATACTCTCACACGGCCACGCGTATACAGCCTCTGCCAGGGAAGTCCTACTCATTGCCTTCTCGTGGCGGGGGTGTTGTTTACGAAAATGAGAGGACGAAAAGCGAATGTCCGGCGCTTTAACCGGATTCCAAATCAATGGTGCACATGGGCTCCAGTATCCTGCGGGAACGAATGGCGTATGAACCAATCGTTGGTCACCGGCTACCATGGGACTGCATCTCCTTACGATGCTCCACTGCCTTGTGGGTTAGACCTTTAGGTCAAAGGCTCGGGGAGTGGCCCCCTAAGATAACCACCTGCTTCGGTTTGGGCACCCGGGCAGTATCACAGCCCACACACAAATGATGAACTCTTTATGTCTATGGAAATTACTTTTCTCGCTTTGAAAAACAAACAATTGATTCAAATTATTATCATTACAATTATTGTCATTATTAATACTATTATTATTATTACTACTATTATTGTCATTATTATTATTATTTTCCACATTATTCACCCTCTTTTATACTTATACAGCGGCTCGTCTTTGGTGGAAATTCGACTGTATCTAAACGTTCTCGAGTCACTGTCCGGTTGAAAATTGTATGTTACCACCGAATACGAGGACTGAAGCAGTTTTTCTGAAACCACGTGCACCATTCAAACTGGCTGCCTTCAACGTTCGCACATTTATGCAGGTCGGACAACAGATAGGGCTGGCTATGTCTTTGGAAAGTCTTAATATCGATGTTTGTTGTCTATCCGAGACCCGTATTCAAGACTCTGGCGAAGTACTACAAATTCGATCTCCATCTGTCGCTTCGAAAAGCTTGTTTTACGTGCGCTTATCCGGGGACCCTGTGGCATCTTCGTCTGGTCTTGCTGGCGTTGGTGTCGCACTAAGCGCTAGAGCTGAGGCAGCACTAGTCGATTGGATCCCCATTAACAGTCGGTTATGTGCTGTTAGATTAGAAAGTTCCATCAAAGTGAGAAGAAATCGGCGTGAGAAACGATGTCTTTTCGTCATCTCCGCCTATGCCCCGACAGATTGCAGCCCGGATGCAATCAAGGATGAGTTTTACCACCAGTTATCAGTTCTTCTCCAGAAAGTGCGTTCGACAGATATTGTAGTACTAGCCGGAGACTTGAATGCTCAGGTCGGGCGTCTAGGCACAGAAGAGAGTCGTTTAGGTGGCCGATGGGGACTCGTTGGTCGCAGGTCAGATAACGGGGACCGTCTACTGCAACTTTGCACAGACCACAACCTGTTTCTGGCTAGCACTAACTTTCGGCACAGTCATCGCCGATGTGCCACCTGGCGTCCTCCCTCTGCATCTCAAGCCTGGACTCAGATTGATCACATCGCGATCAGCTACCGCTGGCGTGGTTGTGTACAAGACTGCCGCTCCTTTTGGAGTACCTATCTGGACTCTGACCATGCCTTGGTCTGCGCCAATCTTGCCTTACTTTTCAGTGGACAACGAAGTGAACGCCATCAACGGATTGATGTTAGCAAGCTGGTTGCAACTTCTGTTGCAAGTAAGTATCGAACCGAGCTAGCCTCTAGGCTAGCTACCACTCCACCGAAAAGTATAGATGAGCATTGGTTGCAATTGCATGACGCCATGAAAATGGCGGGAACAGTCAGTTGTGGGTTTGCGAAACGTCCCGCTTTTAAGCACTGGGTTTCTTCTGGTTCCTTACAACTCATTGAAGCCCGTCGGTCTACTCCGGGTGACCGTGAGTTTGACCATAAACGAAGGATGTTACGTAAGGAAATTGGGCAAAGCTTGCGTAAGGACCGAGAAGCCTGGTGGTCGATGCGTGCTAATGAGCTGGAAGCAGCAGCTGCATCTGGTAACTACCGGAAGCTCTTCCAGCTCATCCGAGCCACTGGCAGCAAGAAGTCTGGTGTGAGTGAAACAATCTGCGAGGATGATGGGATGCCAATCACTAACATCCATCGACGTCTTGGACGATGGGCAGAATTTTTCGAAGGGCAGTTCAACTGGCCTGCTGCTCCGGCAACATCGGTCAGACTGTCCTGCCCTCCATGGCCGGTGACGACTGATCCACCAAATGAGGAGGAAGTCCGCAAGGAACTCCAACTCTTGAAGCGTTACAAATCACCTGGCCCAGATGACTTACCTCCGGCTCTTTTTAAAGATGGTGGTGACTTTTTGACTAAGGAATTGACGACGTTGTTTACAAAGGTTTGGGAACTAGAGTGTGTACCAACGTCATGGAATGAGTCGATAGTTGTCCCTATCTTTAAAAAGGGTTCACGTCGTTCCTGTAACAACTATCGGGGGATAAGTTTACTTCCGATTGCGTCCAAGCTATTGGCTTCCGTCATTCTTCGTAGGTTGTTCAAAACCCGAGAAAGATTGACTCGCGAGGAGCAGGCTGGGTTTCGTTCTGGTCGAGGATGTATTGATCATATCTTCACCCTCCGCCAAATGTTAGAACACCGCCATACTTATCAAAGGCCAACAATCGTAGTGTTTCTTGACATCAGGGCTGCCTTCGATTCGTTGGACAGGACTGTTCTCTGGGATTGTCTATTGAAGAAGGGTGTGCCTGAGAAGTTTATTAACATCCTAAAAGCCCTATATAAAAACACCTCAGGCAGAGTGAGGGCATACAACCACCTCTCTCCATTGTTCCATTCGAGCAGTGGGGTTAGGCAGGGTTGCCCAATCTCACCATTCCTCTTCAACTTTGCCATCGATGACATTCTGGAAACAGCTCTGATGAATGTAAGTAATGGTGGTGTGGATCTGTTGCCTGGAGAAAGACTTCTCGACCTTGAGTATGCGGACGATATTGTCTTACTGTGCGATAATGCCCAAGGCATGCAATCCGCACTTAATCAGTTGGCAATCAGTGTCCGTAGGTATGGTATGTGCTTTGCACCTTCGAAGTGCAAAGTACTTCTACAAGACTGGCAGGATTCTAATCCTGTACTCACCCTGGATGGTGAGCAGATAGACGTAGTTGAGAAGTTCGTGTATCTGGGTAGCTGCATAAGTGCTGGTGGGGGTGTGAGTGATGAGATCAATGCACGAATAGTGAAAGCCAGAGCGGCTTATGCCAATCTGGGCCACCTTTGGCGCCTTCGTGATGTTAGTCTGGCTGTAAAAGGTCGGATCTACAACGCGTCGGTGAGAGCAGTTTTGCTCTATGCTTGTGAAACCTGGCCTCTCCGAGTTGAGGACGTTAGACGACTCTCTGTGTTCGATCATCGCTGTCTCCGAAGGATTGCTGACATTCAGTGGCAACACCATGTCAGTAATGCAGAGGTTCGGCATCGTGTGTTCGGGCACAGAGATGATAATTCAATTGGTGTCACCATCTTGAAACACCGACTTCGGTGGCTTGGACATGTTCTCCGAATGTCGTCCCAGAGAATTCCACGTCGTGCATTATTTGCCGACTCTGGGACTGGTTGGAAAAGGCGGAGAGGTGGTCAGTGCATGACATGGTGTCGTGGCATGAAAGAAAGCTGCAAAGGACTGGCTTGTGTTGGTCCTTCACGACTCCCTGGTTGGGGTCCGAGAGATGGTGCTACACAGTGGCTAGAGACGTTATCAGATATGGCTCAGAATAGAAGCCAGTGGCGATCCTGCTGTAACCTTCTTTTACTTTCTTCATAAAAAGTGGTTGTGTCTCCTTTACCTGAAAGATTTCTTCTGATTGTACCTTTTCGTTCCGTCGTTACTACCACACTACCTTACTCCAATCTCTTCGTCATTGTTCTCTTTTTCTTTTGCGCTCCTTAGTTTTTTTTCTACTTCTCTTCGAATTCTCATTGTTTTGTGTGGCGCATATATATTGGCGCTCTCTTGTACCAATATTCATGTGTTCAAATAAATAATAAATAATAAATAAACAAACGAGTCATGCGGTATGAGTGCAATTTTTATTGCTTGACTTTATGCCGCAATGGAGGTAGAAAGGATGATACTATCTACGACGAGCATATGTCACAGTTGATAATTATTTTGAGGGTAAGCCTTATAATCAAGATTCTGATTGATAGGAACGTCAATAAACTTGTCTCATTTAATTCCCATAACGACTACTGACATATACCTTGAATCGTTCGTTACTTTCAAGTTCTAGAATTCATGTCCATAACCAATTTTAAATCAGAGATTTTGACAACTATTTTTTTACTCCAAAGTCTATATTAGATAATGCAATGTGAGAGCAATTTAAAAAAAACTCCTGCAAGTAATAACTACGGACCACAACCGTGTAAACACTTTAAAATGGGTCACATTACAGTATAATCCTATGGTGTGAAAGATAGTTTTATAACATTGGAATTTCAATCCATCATGAGTGTTGTCTGAGTCCCAGAAACGATGCAGTCCAGTGGATTGACGGGTTATTAGATATAATGCAAAATAATAGCCAGTAGTGTTCCAGCTTTTGTTTTTTAATACAGCCGTCATAATAGTGAGGTGGGCTTTATTACCTTAACGAAATGTTTATTGGCTGTATTTTAACTTAACTGTATCTCTTACTAAATACTATTTCTAGTTATTTCTTCACTGACCGTACTACTATTCTCTCCTTTGTTTCCTAACAATATTTTCCCCCCATTTGTCCCTTACTATGTCAGGATTTATGTGATTTCCGAGATTCGATAAAGGATCAGTAATAAATGAACATATATGGTACATAAACATAATCTATGGTCAGAAACTTACCGGAAGGATAGAGGTGGAATTCTACAACGGAAAAAAGCTTCATTACTATAACTTTACGAATTTAATAGTTCGAGACAAATGATTATACTTGCTTTGATATAGTGTAAAAATCAAGAAAACAGGAATGTGAGTTGTGGGAGACAAGTAAATAGTTTCAATGTAACATTGAAATTTCTAACATATAGAATAGGATCACATTAATGTTATGAGATATTGGATAATTAATTGTTTTCTGACTCACTTTGTTTTTTGCTTTAACCTAAGCCCATCAGACAAATGTTTCATGAACCCGAGACCGCACTAATTAATTTACAATCCATCGTAGATATGTTGACAATAGAACATAACTTGATACACTTAATGTAACTAAAATTTTCATATTTAATCTTATATAGTGCTGACTTTGAATACTAAACCTCTAAGACATGAGGGATTATAAAAAGAATATTAAATGCAAATGATCCTTACCAAATAAAAACTTTGATGGAAGAAAGAGTTTCCAAAAGATGAACGGTAGGAGAGAGTTAACTATGAGTGACTTATATTTGAACAAGATGAAGATTAAACAAAGCAAAAAATTTATTTCTCCCCATCTGCCTGGTTATGAGAGACAATATCCAAGCTATAAACATTTAACCTTAACAAGCTGCAAAAAGTTGAGTCCAGTGAATTAAGGGTTTAATTAGATAGAAGTGGAAGGTTATAAATGAGGTGTACTCGATAACATCAGTGTAAAAAGCATATAACAAAATCAAACTTACTATACTATTGCTCCCACTCCCATCATCTAAAGACGGTACCGTTATAACCATATTTTTCTCGTTATGAAACTTGTCAGATAATAAACTTGAAAGTGTTCGGGGCAAAAAAGCTACATCTATGTGTTTGTGCCGAAAGTTAGCGTATCAATAAAAAATCCGTCACTTCGACTGTTGACGATTCTAAAATAGATGAAATGATACAACCTGGAATTACGAAAATTAAGAGAACAACAAAGGGTCAACTAAGCTTCATTTCATGCGAAAGAGCTATAGTAGGTGCAGTGCTTGAATGAAACATGTCAACTGGCCAGTTAGCCATAAACAGCACAGAACCTGGCCCAAATTACTACACCATATCAACAGGACTAAATGGAATTGCCAAGATGAATACTATAGTAGTATCACTGATATTGAGAATGACTATGGATAAAGATGAATGATTTTGAAGAATCAACAGTCAATAAGTTCATGGACTAACGCTACATTTTGGTTTGACTCTTCCCAGTTCTTCCCGACTGGACTGGTGAACAGTATACTGCTTTCACAGGATAACACTATGTCCAAAGATTAGGCCTAACAGTCAGGTTTGAGTTGATTGAAGAACATGCGACCTGCAGGCTAGTTTCCTCCAATCACCCATAGCATTTTATTATGTTTACTTCGAGCTTATATTTCGCATACAAGGATGTTATTTTATTACATGAAAAATCCATCTGCTCAGTGGTCTTGTCTATGATTTCGAACTATTTGGGGGCCAAAATCAATTATGCGGTCTTGTAAGTATCCATTACTGGATTATATTACACCATTGCGTTCATCAATCGATTATCACTTTGAAATTACTCCTTAAACGGAAGACCTTTACAATACAATCATACAGACATAACCCGCCAACAATAGAAACTTAACCAAACAAAAGCGAAGCGGGATTTTCGAAATCGCGTTAATATTTCACCAAGCATCAAACCACTAGGGTCCATTAAGTTGCTGAAATGCCTAAAATGGGAAGCGCGCTTTTCTAACGAGAATTTTGGTCCTAACGTTATTGTGTTTTTACACAACAAAAGCACCATTTCTGATCGAAAGAATCTATTCTGAGCTATACGTTCGGTAGGTTACTTTTTTCGAGTTTCACCCAATTTAATAGTACACTATGTTCTTGCCTCAGCTTACTACTCGGGTTTTATTTCAGTTTTTCACGTAGAGGCTAGTTCAGTTTACCTCACCCGTTTCTATCCATTTTTGCCCATTTTCAGTGTGCTTTTAAGTGTATTTTTGAAGGTTTTAGGCTTTTGCTAGCATCTATAACACAGTTTACGTCAATAAAGTTGTGGCGGTAAATAGATCCCCGAAATAAATAGCTCTGTAAGTCTTCGACATTGGATGCTGATCACATTAGTTTCAATGGACTCACCTAGCTAAAGGCGCTTGGTCATGCATCCGCACCAGATCACGAGTGGGAACGCCGTGCTCAACAACCCCTGCAACCGCTAGCCAGATTAGATCAGACGATCCTCGATATATTGATGGCCCATCAAATATACCTTAGAAACTCCTCGCTTCTGTCTTTTGATTTCACTTGGTGGGTACGATTCATGTTAGAAGGTGTTACTGGTTAAAGCGTTGTCAAACTCCGAATACCTGTAGCATCTTCATAGTCATGAAAAATTCATGCAAACGACCTGGATGCTGTTATGCTGTTACATCTGTCATGCATTGCGACAACTGCAAAGGTTGTTTCCACGAAGCGTGCACAGATCTCACAGCAACTGCTTACAACAGTCTCAACAATTCTGATCATAGGTGGAAATCTGTCACGTGCAGCACTGATGCTGTAGTCTTGCTGAATAACATCATTGTCTTATTGACAGGTCTGCGGAATAAGTTGTCAGCAAATTTGGAAAAAGACAGTCATAAAACTGGTACACAAACACGTGCGTGCAACGAAAACAAGAACAGGGATGTCGACAGGTCCACCATCGATGAACATGCATTTGCACTAATGATGACTTGTTGAAACTCAACCCCATCATTATGTCAACGGTAATAGACTCACTCAGTATACTCGGGCATTCCCAGCTCAGGGACCTTGAATGCGACAGTGGTCCCAAAAAACTCTGTAGGTGATTGGACCCACGTTAACAGAGCTCAAAAGAACAAGGCGTCACCGTCTAAGCTGAGCATCCCAAGTGTTGTATGGAAATCAACTGGTGATTTCGACGCACGGTCTACTCACAAGAATGTCCGTCCAGTCATCAAAGAGCCAAGGATTCATAAACGTGCATCGACTACCAAACAACAAGGTGCTAAACCTGAACGCACAGGAAAACCTGGGACGATAATAACGCTTCGTGATGGCTCTCTCATAGTCATGAACCTCAAAGACAATCCTGACCTTCCTCTCAGTTTGCAGGACAAAAATGATAGGATGCTCTGGGGAGAACTGAACAAAAAACTTGAACTTCCAAGAATAGAGCCTTTGACGGTTACACGCCTCACTCGTGGGAAGGAATCTAAACATCATAATCACCCGAGGCTACTTCGTGTAATACTTAAGAACGCTACCGACGTAGAGGATATCTTGCTAGCTAGTCATTTACTAAAATCAGATAGGAACGTAAGAATACTGCCCAAAATACCGTATTCTGAGTGCAATCTCATCCGAAACATCCCTTAAGAATATCGCAAGAAGTATTTCCTCGGAAGAAATATAATTGTGCAAGGTGTACCGGAAAACATGAACCCTAGTCAAGCAAATTCTGATATTAGGGAATGGAAATTCATCAAACAGTCCTTGAGGCTCAAAAACATACTGACTCAACATATGACGAGACTAACCAAGAAGGACGGTGATTATAGACCCCGGCTAGTGAGGATAACTTTCCCATCCTCCCATACGGCGGCTGCAACTCTGGAAGCATTTCGTGCCAACAGACGTCAGTTGCCAGCTGGAATCCACATGCACCCGGATAGGTCATATGAAGCCATGACCAAGCACAAAGGCAAGATGGAGCTGATCATTCCACTTGTGGACTGTCTCGATGATAAAAAAAACGTGTAAAGGACAGGGTCTATCAACTCGGCAAACCTTATATAGGTAGGCTACCTGTCTACTCATACAGTAAGAAGCTCACACATTTCAAATTGAAAGCATAAACTCCCGATACATGAACGCCGTCAGTCTACCAAATAAAATGGATGAACTACATGAGCTTAGCATTGTTAATATTGCTTATCTGATAGGAATCCCTGAAACTTGGATATCTTCACAGTCATCGGACCAGGAGTTAGCAGTCCCTGGGATGTCTTTGTTTCGCAACGACAGAAAATCAGGAATTGGGGGTGGAGTAGCCATGTACATACGATCTTGCTTGGAGGTACACCAAGTTCATTACCTCAAGTTTAACAATCTTGAGGAATCCATATGGTGCTCTGTAAGATTGTCTGCTACACGAGGTGTCTAGTCAGACTCATGTATATGGGAAGCACACTGCCGACATCGAGTATGACAGTCGTATGCTGGAAGGATTTTCCCGCTCTACACGTCTCGGTTTCACTCATATCCTGAATCTAGGGGACTTCAATATCCCTAGAGTCAATTTCGCAGAACACACGTGTATTGGAGGGAAAAACTCAACTGAAGCTCGGTTCTTCAACCTCATTGAGGATTTGGGATTATACGAAAATGTAAAGTAGGCCAGAAACAGTCAGACACCGTCAAGCTTAGATTATGTATTTACAAACGAAGAATTTCTAGTTTACAACCTCTCAATCTTAGCTGCCCTGGGGAAAAGCGATCATGCCGTTATAGCCTTCAGTTCTGTCAGCAAAACTGTGCTGGAATTTCAAACGGTTGAATGTGTCAGCTCTACAGGACTATCTTCAACAGGTGGATCGGGATGTCCATCCTCAACTCGATGTGGACGGTCAGTGGGACTTCTTACTGCACACTCTCATATGTGCTAAAAATCATACAGTTCCTCAAACGGTCCCCCATGGCTATCAGCAACCCACAATCATCAGGAACCGCACTCTTCGCCTGCTAAGCTACAAAAAGCACTGTTGGGCAGAGTACAAACGAACTGACAACAACGGAGTGTACAGGCAATACAAACATATAAAGAACATATGCACGAATGCTATAAGAGAAGACAGGATTCAGTACCAGATAAAGCTCATGGATAAATTTGTCTCTAATCCGAAAGGCTCATCCCGTTATGCAGCCTCTCTTCGTCAAGCCAATACTGGAGTTTCTCAACTGCTAGGCCTTGACGGCCCGACCAACGACGACGGCGACGCCGCTAACCTTTCGGCTGAACAGTACTCTCGGACATTTCAACCAACCCATATCAAGTATACTGACGAGAGCTTCATCTGCAACTCCAAAGGACTTTTCAACGTCAACCTGAGCTCTGACTAGGTGTTCCGGAAACTGCAGCACTTAAGAATAGACACTTCTTCTGGCCTCAATATGGTCCATTCTGTCATACTGAGGGAGGCAGCCTCAATCCTGGCAATGCCGCTTAGCATGATGTTATCACACTCGCTAAGCCGAGGAAAACTACCGGAAATTTGGAAGCTGGTTCACATCACACCAGTTTTCAAAGGAGGTCGACGCAGCGAACCTTCAAGTTACCGACCGATGGCTCTTCTCTCAATACCTTCAAAATTCATGGAGTTCCTGATATGCGATTGTATATATGACTATTTACTGTCCTTAAACTTCTTCTCACCCAAACAGCATGGTTTCAGGAAGGGTTACTCTTGTATAACAAACCTGCTGACTGTGGTGGATGGATGGACAAACATCCTCGATCACAAGGGGAACGTCGATATCATCTACCTAGATTTCTCAAAAGCTTTTGATAAGGTTAATCATACATGTCTTATCAATAAGCTTGTAGCGTGGCGTCGAGTTGAGGTAAACTATGAACACCGCTACTAAGAAACACGTGCCAGACAAATCAGAAGGCGTAAGAAGCTCGTTCCAAATGACTCCATAAAATCCCCGAGAAGCCGAATACCAGAAGGCAATTAATGGACCAAGTCGAGGTTTATTAGCTGGCGATCTCGTGGCATCGAAAGGATACCGAGATCGTGCCAGGATACAAGCTTGGTTACAGAACGTAACCGAATTCGCGCGAAGTTACAATCAAAGTGTAAGTAGGGAATGGAAGCAAAATATAGCTGTCATTAGCACAGTCAAACAAAAGCACATTAAAATAAACACTGGTACAGTTGGTTATAATAATAATTGTTTTTATTAAACCAGTCGTGTTCTCGTGATAAACGTGAGTCACTACAGGAGCCCCCCGCTAGAAAGGGTTTACACTTTCGATAAATAGCGGTTTGAATCGTGGGACTGATCGGCTGACGAGCGATTGTAGGACGGAAGAATTGGCGAACAGGAAAGCGATCGTTGATCGTCGAGTTGCCAACGGAGGTCGTTTTCGGAGAACGGTACCAGGAGCGATGCGTTGTATTTGTTGCTTGAGTTGGCATGCTACACCAGAGTGGTTTGTATCCAGAATCTGAAGAGGGCGTTCGTAGGGTCCGGACCAGAAACGCTGCAGACGAAGGACGAAACCACGTTGAGCCAAAAGACCAGAAGCGACCATAACGACCAAGTTCGAGACCAAGCGTATGCCAAGCATTCGAAACCAATATATCGACTGAGTACGTTGACAAGAGCGTGGGTGATCAGGCCAGCTTTCGCCAAAGTTGACTGAAGTCGACGGAACCAAACGGAGATGGTCGAAGGCGTGGGCTCAGGAAACAAAAAGAAAAGGAAAAAAGAGAAGAGTGTAGCATGCGTGTAGCATAGGAATAGTCCTACACCGTATCGGTTGTTAACTGTGCGGCTAGTCGCGGAAGCGTACGGGCAACCGTACTCGGCGACCGGAACGTGAGACGGTAGTC